TCAGTCCTCCCACTAAGGCCACTAGGTGGTACAGGTCTCATGGATGAAGTACTGCCCACCTCTGACAGCAAAAACGACTGGGGAAGTCTGGCCTGACGCCCACCCTCACCCCTCTGAGGATCCAACTCCCCTGTCGCCCCGCGTGGCTCTAGAGCTCGAGCTGCACCTCTAGTCACTGCAACCGATGCCTCCACCTGTGCTGCACTCGCTAGATAAGGGAAATCCTCTTCCTCGTAAGAGGTGGAAGTGCTCGCCCCAGAACTCACCATAGCAGCAAGCCTCTGCTCCAACTGCTCAATACGAGCAGCCATCGCGCTCTCTGTAGCCGAAGTAGCACTCGCTACAGGACGTCCAACTACACCGGCACCTCGACCACCTCTACCAGCACGGCCACCTCGACCTCGAGAAGCATCACCACCACGACCTCTACCACCAGATGTCAACTCTGGATGAAGGTCAAAACACCGATCTCGAGTATGACCTGCTCGACCACAGTGGTCACACACCACCTGTGCTGACTGGGGTCTAGCCTGTGAACTCTGACCTCCGGCCTCCTGGGGACAATCTCTCCGCCGATGATCCCCTCCACATGTCCAACATGCTGGTCCCTGCTGCTGGCCAGCAAACGACGGCACTAGTGCACGTGCCCCTGTATCTCTAGCGGCTGTTTGGTGTCGTGTCTGCACTCCGCGACCCCCACCACTACCACCACCAAAGGGTCTAGACAATGCCGTGCTCTGCGGGACACGAGAGGTAGTGGCTGCGTCTCTAGCGAATGAAGAAGTCACCACTCTCTCCTCCACTATGTTAAGCTCAATCTTCTCAGAAAGAGCAAACACATAGGCCAATGTCGGTGACGCATCGCTCAAGAGAGTAGCATCCCGAACTCTCCGCCGTAGCTCTCTGTCCAGTATCCTGTACCAATACTGGACCGCCTGTGCCTCAGTTACACCGTGAGTAACTGAGATCAACCGCCGCATACGCGTGTATGCTTCCCGAAGACTCTCACCAGTCTTCCGCTCAAACTCTTGAAGACTCCTCAACTTCTCCGTCCTCACCCCCTGATAGTTCTTCCTCAACCTCTTGAAGAACTCAGGAATGGGGCTGAACGAAGGTACGCAAGTAGTCTCTCCACTCGTGCTGGCAACGCCAACAGCACCGCTGGTGGTACCTGCTCCACTAGTACCATCGGTGATGCTACCACTCGCACCTCCACTGGTACCAACACCACCCTGGGTGATCGACGTATAGTTTGGAGACCAATGACGCCTCCATGCGTCAATCTCCACAGCATACTCTCTCCCAAACTCATGGTAGTCATCCATGGGAGGTCCCTCCAGATGCTGAAACAACCCCTTCCATGCAAAGAAGGGTGTAAACAACGTGGGGTTACGCAAGAACTGCATATCGCACCACGTGTCAAACTCCTGGATGAAATCATCCAACTCAATGGTGCCCACTGCACCAGAGTACCGCCGTGGGCCCTTCATGGCCCCGTACATACCGTCCATGTCCCCAGTCCACGAGTGTGGGACCCTAGACGATATCACCACCAAAGATCCGATATCTGCCACACTCCGCGCCTCTCCAACCACTGATGCGCTAGGATGAGGTAGCCGATACCTCAACCCACTCCGCGTAAATCCTCCACGGTCCTCAACGGAACCCCCAAACTCCTCCGTGATGACTGACTCACCAATCGGCACCACTGCCACAACTCCACCTGCCCTCGTCCCTGCACTAACCTGCTCTAGCCCTACTGACTATGGGTATGGGCAACCTAACCTGTCATCACCGCAAGAAGACTCTCCTGGTCCACTGGTCATCACTCCAGTCTCACCATGAGAGAAACAAAGATAAGCGCCGGTGATCAAATCCAGTCGCACTATCGACAGCACACTGGAGTAAAACTACTCCGAAAATCAACGTCAACCCAGACATGGGCGCGCATCAAGAAGCCAGACTGGAGAGGATCCAAACACAAGCAAACAGCTAGCAACGACTCTCCAGCCGAAATGAAACACAGCACAGAACAACACAACACACGGGAAGTCGCCTCGCATAACGATCCCGAGTCGAGCTCCATCGCCTCCTCTCATCTTCCACCTCCCGAGCCTGCAACGCTATCTCGCTCATCTCGTCGCAACGAGTGTATCCCCGCCGAGCTATCTCATACTTCACATCATATATCCACTTCGCACTACCAATAGGGGCAAGGAATGTCAAACTGTCTATCTACCCTAACCGTTCCCCATAAGAAAAGAGATACGGAGAAAATTTATGTTTCCACCACTTCAACAAACCTACACACTAAGCACTAAAATTTTTAATATAATGTTGACCACGTCATAGGTATAGGAGTACAATGCCTTTACAACCCAAGAACCATATAGTTCCTTTCAGAATATTTCTCAAGAATATATTCCCTATGTGCCTTTTGTGAGAGCACAATATCTTCAAATAAATCTGAAATCTTACAGTTCTCTTCAATGTGCCTATGATTGTAACCCCTTCACTGAATGTCAACGCTTGACCGAGATAACCTCCACATTCAATCAGGTAAAGAATGTTCTAAATGCACTTACTATATCTATCGGTCAACAAGAATAGCTAGTATTGATCAGAAAAATTGGCTGGAGGCACTAACCATTGCTTCGAGACGTGAAAGTAATAATCACCATCCAGAGTAATCACAGTTCCACAGCTCCAGACTCATTTCCGCTCGTCACTTCCCTTGTTCTCTCATCAAGGTTGTCTTCTTAACAATGAAGGGATGACAATGCCAACTTTCCGATTGAGCACGAACAGCCGACATAGACTATCTTGCGAGTAAACTTCCGAAAGTGGTAAATCTCCAGCTTCTGTCGTAGCCAAAGGTACCTCCAAATGTACCTCCTTGTCTTCTTGAAGGTAATGTGAATTTTACTTCTTCCACTGAAAACTCGAGTTGGAGGTCACGGAGCAAAACGTCCGTGTAGCTATTCCAGGAAGGTACATCCTGCATGTAACTTTCAATAAAGATCAACTCCTTCGTGCAACCATTCAGAATAATCTCCTTAGAAACCTGGGGAAGACCCGCTGACCGATCCAACTCTAATTCAGTGCTCCGTTGTGAAAAGCAGCTCCATTTAAGATACAAGGTCGACGAAGAGAAAAGTCAAGCGAAGTTCGACAAATCCTAGCAGCACCTGCAACATCACGCTCCCGATTTTCCATCCACTACTCAAAGTATGAAGTCGACAGTAGTACCGTAAATCAGAATGGGCAAGATCCTGACGTAATTGCCAACATCCTCTTGTTTGTAATGAATTTTACAGTTTCCAATTACGATCGTGCTTGATTGGGTCTTTCCATCACTTCTTACACACTCGTGGCTCCGTTGCTCTTTGTAGGTAGAAGATTTTTCAAATGTAGCGCTCGGGCAACACTATCCATTGGTGGGAGTCGGTTTCAATTCAGAAGAGTTCAGAATTCTGACGGTTATCAGAACTTCGACCCAGGCCCTGACCAAATATATAACTTGAATTATCTCATGTCTCAGAGATAGTTTGGGAATGTCAGATACAAATGTTCATTAGAAAAAAAAACTCGATACCAGCAGAAGATTATATCGTCTCGTGACACTGTCTCAGATCGATTTGGACATGGTCCGCCAAATTCGGGCACCAGTAGAAACTGCTCTCACTTGTGAAGTTCTTCGGCGAACTTATGACAAGAATAAAATTTCTGTCATTGCTCATCGGAATAGTCCCTATTTTTTTTTTTCTCTCATACTGTAGAGACCTCCTCCTTTAACCACAACAACTCATAACCCATCTTCACCTTCTGTCAAGACCTGCCGGGGTAGATTCTTCACCTATTTGACCATCTGAATTTTATTCCAAAGGTCTGGGGCCTGATAACAGCTTGTTCTATATTCTCTTCCAGATGATATTCTGCTTAGTTTACAGAGTATTAAAAGTATACTTTTGCCCAGGTACTGTAGTAAGTGACACGAAATCATCAACAACTCTCGTTCAACAGAGACAGGACCGCAGCACGACCTGGCCACGGGACAATGTACAGCAAGCTATACAAAAGCTTTGATGTAGACCAAGGCAATGACGAATCAGGAGCTATCTTTGATACTTCTTCGTACTGGCAGAAGGTACACACAATATCTATGTTACATCCTCGCCGCGCATGACTGCAAAGAATTCTCTGAAGTTGTCATCATTATACAACAGGTACTGCAGCGGAAGGTTCTCTAGGGGACGAGCCACTGGCGTTCTGAGTACTTCTACGACTCCATGTCTGTTGCTTCATTGTACTCCCCAGCCGTGATTTCGAGTGAAATAGCAGTAGCCCGAGCCATCATCAAATCGGATCGACAGCCCTTATTCTTTGCATCCTCAAGAACTCACGACTGAAATTAATCCACCAACACCATCATCACCACCACGCAAGACTAAGGCTCTCAGCTCCTGAACGATGACCGACTCGCAGACTTGAAATGCTTTCCCTGCATCCTAGTAGCTGGTCCTGAAATAGTGTTCAGAATTTACAGTCTTTGGATCTGGAACACCACTTTCTTCCACCACCACCAGCCTCACGAACCGCACAGAAAAACTCGCACGCCAATCTCCAACTCAAAACACGCACAAGAATCACATAAAAACACCAGCAAAACTTCATCACAACATCACCAAAGTGTATAGGCAGTTCTTCGAGTATAAATGTCGAAACATAACTACACAAAGAGTCAAGCCAAACTCACTACCCGTAGGTAGACTAAAAGTCGAAGCTAAGGGGAAAAACCCCGACGCGTAAGGCTCAACTCGAAGAACTGACAGTTCTTCGAGTTTGCCACGAATATAACCCACGGGAGGTGTCGACTCCATCCAACGTTCCTCGCCCGTCTGCCGCGGCCCAACGTTAGCCGACTCCCAACGTTCCCCAACTCCAATTCGAACTCAACGAGTCTCAACTCAAATCGACCCAACGTCTCGAGCCATGACATACTTAACTGAATTCTCTTTCCAACTTACAGTCATGGGCATTACGTAGGGCCACAGCTTCAAGTCATTCTTCCCGTCATGTGCCCACGTGGAAAATCCAGACCTGGTGGACCAGCAATACTCACGAATCTAAGCACAGATATATAACAAATCTGCGTGCTGGAAGAATCCATCCGCTCGGCCAACGACACATTTTGCTCCTATGTACATATCTAACGTGTAGTATACGAATAATCCAACTGTCAATGTCTTCGTCCCCTCACTAACGTTTTGGTAACGCTATTGGCCTCCCGTTCCGTCCGTCTCAGCTCAGCTCGTCTTGCTCGTGGACCACATTTTCCATGACGACAAATTCTGTCAGAACCCTTTGGAGAGTGAACGCATCTCTTACTGACTTCAAGACTCATACGAGATTCAACCGAAGATAGAGAACAGGTGTACAATGCCCACTCGAAGGTCTGGTGTCTTTACATATGTACATATGCACAGGGGACGTCATAATAATGTTCTTCTCGCTGCCTCAATCCCGAGGTGTCAGTGTGGTGGTGCCAGTGAGTAGGAAGCGTCGTGAAATTGCAGGACTAGTAGTATGGCTCGGATTTGTACCAACTATTCAGCTTCTTCTGCGAGCCTGTGCCGTAGGAGTCGTGAAATTGCAGGACTAGTATGGCTCGGATTTGTACCAACTTTTCAGCTGCTGCGAGCCTGTGCCGTAGGAGGTGACAGTATGCCGGCTTGACACGGAGTATCAGATCAGTAGCGGTGGTCGAAATAGTGGTCAGAGGTGGCACTCATCTCGCCCGGGACGGCAGCGGTGCACTGCGCCGGCTGGAGACTGGAACGGCAAAGCGGGCAGGTGGTGCGATTGGTTTGCAGCCATTCATTCAAGCAAGCTTTGTGGAAAATGTGTTTGCATTGGGGGAGCTCGTAGACGCTGTCGTTGTCTGAGAACTCGGACAGGCAAACGGTGCAGTCATGGTCGCAGTTGGCTGCTGATTTCACAAAATTGTTCACCCTCAGGGACGATTTGATTTTCGATGTTCCTCTCCTGCTGCTGCTGCTGCTCGTGTCATCGATCTCGAACTCGGGCGGGCCATAGTCTGCGCCGCCTGGCCAGCAGGGCATCATGAAGGGCAGGAGGCTTGACGATTCATCTGCAACGCTCTGGAACCAAACTGCCACCGCCGTAATGAAGTCAAATATTATCATGGCGATGTTCGACAGCTTTTTCGAGACCATGGAATTCTTCCAGTCTATGCTTTCCATACCACCGAAGAGCATCGTTAGAACGCAGCTGGCGCCTAGTACGTGTGCCATGTGATCGTCCTACGAAGAGTGGCGTGTTGTCCTCCTCATACCGAGATCATCGATACCCCATTCAATGAATCCTGTTTCAGCACCAGCTCGCAAAGATGAGGCCCGACTGGAACCGACCGAAGATTCTCCACACCGGTTAGTCTCGGTCATAACATCCGTAGAAATTCCTCACACTTACGTCGTGAGGTGGTACTCAGGAAAGTAGAGTTGGGAGCCGGAAGAAAAATTCCTCTTCTGTTTGTTACAGGTCCAGTTGTTCTCTCGGTGCCTGATTTCGAATTGACATTCCATCAGTCTCTCCTGTCACTCTGAGGAGCTCCAAAGTAGGTGTCAGAGTTACAGCTTCTTCTGCTTTGCAGCCACCACTTGGGACTGACTGACTGTTTGCTGAACCTTGAAGAACAGAGTCCTGCTCCAGCACTCGTTGGGTTGCTCTTGCAAAATCGACAGCTATGATCAGATGATGGTCCACCACTTTTTCCTGACCATTAGCTCTCCTGACAAACCATACTCTTCCACTCAAAATTGAGCTTCTAATCAAAGAAGCTCCGAAACAGTTAGAGTTGGTCTCTGCAGGTCTTCGGAGTCAGGAAAAAGCCCCTGATGCATCTCAACATCACGACCAAGGTCGAGATGTTGGAAGCCGAGGTCTGGAGATGAAGATTCTAGTCCATCACATCTCTTAAATTTAGTGCACGCAAGTTCGACTTCAGGTCACCGACACTTTGTGGGCAGGCAGAAGGCATTTCATTATTAAATTTGTATAATTTTGTCCCCACAGTCTAAAGCCTCACATGGCTTCCTGATGAATCTGAAGGGGCCACAGAAATCTCCCTCGAGATCTCAAGGAGATTCCGAATGGTGCCAGTGGGATTATACAGTTTCTGCACAGTAGTACAGTTGCCACCTGCCTCTCTGATTATAAATTCGTGCATGACGAGAACTCCGAAATCCATGAAGGGCCGGGTTTTGCTTCCTGGGAACCCTTTCCAATTGCTGAAACCTGATGTGTTGTGCTACAGCCCAGGTAGCTAGCTGCAGCCGTCCCTGGGCGAGTCATCCCACCTTTGAGAAAGAAGTACCTGGATCAGCAGGACTATTCTAAGAATAGGATTGAGAAGGTGATAATTAACGGTGGCATGAGTGGAGCTGACCTACGGCCCACCCAATGAGGCCAAAAGATGTCTGATTCAAATCCTTGCCTCCGCTGATGTGTTCTCATTCTGTAATCTTGTGAGAGAATAATACTCTACCTTGAATCTGGATCTTGCACCGTTTCTCTGTCTATGGGGACAAGATAGGTCTGGGTTTCCAACTCCTCTCGATCCGAGAGCGAAAGGTTGACATCTGAGTGTGACACTACTACTCATTGTTCATACGGATCTTCGGAGTCGCCCCGAATTGACCTGGCGAGAAACACGGGGCATGACTAGATTTCTAGAAGGTTGAAGTTGCGGGCATGATGCACTTTACTGCCCACACTTTGTTTCCATGTCAGCACCCACCCCCTTTCGCTTCCGTGTTTGAGTTGCTTTTTGCTTTTTGCGACCGGGAGAGACATGTTTGGATAGCACGCAGCCAACTTTGATTGAGGAGTCACTTTCCAGAAGAAGCTGTGAAGTTCCAAGCCTCCAAGCCTCCAAGCCTCCAAGCCTCAAGTCCACTGGGATAAGTACATCTCGGCAGACGTCATGCTCAAATTCCCACTCAGGAAATCGGTGAACGATTCCATGTCTGTTGTTGAATCCTCTTATCGGTAGCTTACGTGCTATTTTTATGAGTACAATAGGATCACGATAATCGTAGTGAAAATTGTACATGCAGCCCAGCTTCCTTCACGGATATAATTTCATGTTGAACATGAAATTATCTTCAGTTACGTTTTCGGTGCTGACTTCACTCAACACCCTGAACCGCAAGTTCTCATCGCTTGCACGCAAGGAGGGATCTATCGCAACCACATGCCCTCAACATGGGCGTTGATCTGAGTTGACGGAATCTTTCTTTCGGGAAAAAGCGTAGAGTGGGTAATGTATCTTAAGCTGACTGCCGTTCGCCAAGTGCTCAGTTTGTGGATAAAGAGGAATGCTTACGTTGGCCCGTCTTCGTCATCTAGTGTCGCTTAGTGCTGGATTCGCAGCGTGTAGTGTACAGCAACACGAAATTGAATATTACTTAGCATCGGTTTAAAACATTATGGCATCAGTAGTGGAATTAACACCATTGTTTTCTATGAAGAATTATTCCATCATTACGTTCTCTTCTTCGTCATATTGTGTTCAAGGTTTCCAATCTGCTGTCACGTCCAGAGAACTTGGTTTCTTTCCCGTTCATTCTAAAACTTATCGAAGCAAATCCTCGCGTTTGACGGTTTGTTTACCGTCTCGCGACTGAATGAGACGCAGGCAAGATACTTATTTCATTCAACTACAATTCGCAGTGATCCGTGACTTCATTGCTGTCGTCAGAGAGCTTTTTGCGTACCCCTTATTTCTTAGCCTGCTTTAGGATTATCTGTGCGCTCTTTCGGCCTCCTCTCCCTCGGAGTGCTCTACCTTCGTGAGCAGTGTCATGTCCTCGAGAGTCGTCTGACGACTAGAACGATTGCCAGTGTAAGCATTCGGCCCCTTGACACGACATTCTGTATTCGGAAAGTTACCGAAAAGTCTCGAACCCATGATATCGTATCGGTATGAAAGCTGCTGTGGAAATTACCGCGTTCTCTGCCCTTTCCGACGAGGAAAAGCTAAAGACTGTTCGCTCCAGTAGGGAGAATTTTGTGCTAGTATTACTGAAGATTAACTTCACCCAACAGGCGCACTCGGTTCGGGCAGAACGAGTCTGCCTGTTGTATCAGGGGAATATAGAGGGGAGCTGAGGCAAGCTAACTCCAGAAACCTTAAGTTCTAGGTCCTCGTCTCTGAATGCATCAAGGTCGTGCTGGCGTTCACTGTGAGATCTAGTACAATCGAGTCGCAACATCAGGTAATTACGGACGGAGACATAGAGAAGCGTCTCTTCGGCTCTCGAGCAGCAACGAGAGACCAGACTGACGATGACAACGACTGCCCGCGTGCGGTATTCCAGTTTTGCTTCGGAGAGATATCTGGCGACGAAGAACCCCGGGCAGAAATCTATATTGTCAACGTATGAAGGCCATCTCGCCGTGACTCAAGTACCTAACAGGGGATGATTTCAAGCTCGAAGGGCGTCGGGGAAGTGTCCCGCGATCAAGAATTGTTCCCTTTGGAGTTCAATTACCGTCTATTTAACATTCGCGACTCGAACGCAAGACTAGCGTGGCGCCTGACACTTTCTTCAGGCGAACGGGCACGTCGACGAAAGCGATGTGCAGGATTACATCGGGTAGTAATCTACACAACTCCAGCTTTAGGTCGGCGGGTCTCAATGGTACACCATCACCGACTTCCATCGTCTACGTTATTGAATGAGTGGTTTCACCTGTGCACACAGAGCAGCCCCAGTGAGCCCTGACACCGGAAGTAGATTACCCACTCCGCACGGGCACAAGGACTAAGAGTAAAGCTGCCGATCAAGTGACAGGATCCGAAGAATCCGTCTCCGATCACTCCGGCCAACAGAAGCGAAATTACTCTTTCCGGCGTGAAAGAGTAATCACGAGTCTCCGAAATTCCAAGGATCCAAAATCACTCTCATCGCCAAAAAAAAGAGGTCACGCGACCTTCGTCACGACAGGAAATCGACGAACGATCGATCGTCCTCATCGGGAAAGGTCGATACCAGAAGCAGACCCTAAATCGAGACAGAAAATCTAAATGCTGCTCTGAGGGACATTCTTTACAGTGCAATCCTTCGAGTAATTCGGTGGCAGGCTATGGACGAGGAACTTGTAGGAAGGGAAGGGACGAAGGAAGGAAGGAATGGAAGCAAGCTCGACGACACGATGAGTCGGCGTGTCGCAGGAGAGGCCGATGCTGAGCCGGCGTCTGAGGAGGACATGCCACGGCGGCAACCTGCCACTGTGGCCATCGGCCAGGCAGGCATACAAATATCTACCCGATCTTGGATCGAAGACCGTCGATTGGTATACCCTATCTCTATCTGCTGCTCAGACTAGACCTCTTGGACGGGGTATCGGGGTTAGGGTTAGGGTTCGTAGGGGATCGCGGGGCCTAGGGTTCTGTAAAATATTCGTCCCAAGAAGCGACGAGGCCTAGAGACCGTAGGAAATCGAATCTGACGGTCAAAGGGGTAGATAAATATTCCGGATGGATATTATAAATGCGAGTCGGTAATTAATGGTCAAAGTTTCGCAGTGTTCCCCGGAATCGGTAAATTATTTGGACTGGAGCGGTGTCCCCATAGATATATATACCTTGGAGTTGCGTCCTAACCACCGTGTGCTCAGTCTATCGATTCGACATTTCCCCTCACTTCTCAGTCCTTGAATTCAGTCTTCCACCATGGGTGACAGTGGTTCAGAGTTCAGATGTTTCGTCGGAGGTCTCGCGTGGGCCACCACCGATGTCAGACTGGAGGATGCCTTCGCCACCTTCGGTGAGGTGGTCGAGTCTCGAGTGATCAGCGATCGCGAGACGGGCCGATCCCGCGGATTTGGCTTCGTCACTTTCGCCCAGGAGCAGTCGATGAAGGACGCCATCGAAGCCATGAACGGCAAGGAACTCGATGGTCGTAACATCACTGTGAACCAAGCTCAGAGCCAGTCCAAGGGTGGTGGCGGTGGAGGCCGAGGTGGTGGTGGATACGGAGGTGGTGGTGGCGGCGGAAGGCCATACGGAGGTGGTGGCTACGGCGGGTCTCGTGACGGAGGCAGCCAAGGCGGCGGCGGTGGTTACGGCGGTCGTGACGGAGGAAGCCGCAGAGGATATGGAGGCAGCGGTGGAGCTCGTGATAATGCTTACTGAAGCCCTTGAAGATTGACCATTCTCTGATTGTTGGGAGCCCGAGCTGTTCGAGACGTCCTGTTTCGAGAGTCGTGTCCTCGGTCCCAACACTTGTCAACGACGCGGCCGTCTGCGAGGGGTCCTACTTCTCGAAAGTGCCCGTCTTTGAGCTCTTATATGTACAACAGCTCGATCGCCTTCTTCGATTGAGTGTCCACTAGTGCTGCTCATGCTTTTTTTTGATGTACCTCTACCTCGGTACAGCCTTCCCTATGAAGCGGCAATAATGTCAGACTTTGTCTACCTAGCATGTCCATTAGGGGTAAATGAAAAGCTTCACGGTAGGCTGTCTTGACGTTCCCTTCTGCTCCTTAAGTCGATTGCTATTAATGTTGGATTCTACACTCGTCCAACTCGGCTCCTTCAGAACTGATACTTCAGGGTCTCAAGGAAGCTAGTAAAGATGGTCACACGTTTGTGTGACAGCTACCAGTTTGAATCTGCTCGGTTAAAGTAGATGGGACCTACACACCATCGGTTGCTACCATGGTGCACAGTTTTGATACTATTCTCCGGTTATGAGAGATCAGGTTTGTTACTGGCCACAGCCACAAACGGGACGAGGGAGTCCTTGTTGAATCCGCAACTGCGTGTTATAAATTTCACCTACGGTATGAGTTCTTGCCGAAGATCAAACATGTGTTGTCCGTCTGCACTATCGTTTGTCCGTGATTGAGCCTAACTTGAAAACGAGTCTTTTTCTTTGGTCTGGGAAGTAGGTAGACAAACGTTTCTAACAGGATGAAAAAGCTTGTAAGTACAATTTTCCATATTTTCGAGAAAGAAAAAGTCGGAAAAAGAAAGAAAATATATATGACACCGCCAATATACTATACACTCTAAAAAAATTGATGATATTACTTCACGATAAATGAAAAAGAAAATAGCTTTTACAAAACGGAAAGTAAAATGATAACAAAGAAGATGAATAAAAAAAGAAAATATTTGAAAGGGAAAGAAAAATCAATGTTTTAAAAACAAAACGAATAAAGAAAGAATATAAATATTGACAATATAAATATTAAACAATAACAATAAGTACAAAATACTGACATTCATCAATCACATATCATGTATATAAAATAGACCATCGAAAATTCATGTGTATATGGGACAATGATAGTGGGGATAAAAATTTGTAAGGAGATCTGCTTGCGGCTACCCTTGCGCAGGTTAATTTGCTTATGATAAACTTCATGTTTCTTTTTACCCTAATCGAACCACCGAACGAAGCACCGTCCCCATATTATCTCTAAAACACAAAAATAAAACGAGTAAACATTCTCTCTCCATCACACTCCCTTGTTTTTACTTTGTCATTCTCTACAAGCTCTCCATTCTCTACAAGTGTAATCGTGAGAATTGAAGCACAACAAATTTCACTTCGGGCAAAATCTTTGTTCCCGTGATAATACACCAGAAATTATAATCAATGATTGATCTCTAATTGTAATACCCCGCATTGTAACTATCAATCATAGTTACAAGAAATATCTTAGAAGTCACACAGGGTTCCATAGGGTATAATGAAACCTGATGGATCCCATAAGCAAATTACTTTCCGTATGGGATCCATCAAGCAAAGCTTTCAAGATTATAATCTTACTTTAATTAAACTATACATCAATATAAAACACACATATCTATTAGCATAATTATGTACCTCAAGGTGGACAAACTTTCATTTGAGAATGAAAAGTTATCTAGAAGATAAAAATGCATTCATATTCAAATAGAAAAAAAATAAACCATATGTGTGTATATATATATATATGGTTTAATATTCATAAAAGTGAACCAAATTATTTTCTATTATGTATATCAGCATGTGTCTATTATACTTTCAAGGTATGAAGATATTTGATTGATTAGTAAAATAAATGTGAAATTTTCTATCTTTTATTGCAATCAATGTCTTTTGAATTAAATTATTATGTTATGTACATCATAGTTCATATGCTTTAACCAGCAATAGCCAGGAGAGATTTTTACTATATTTGTTATGTTCAGTTAATGAATGACTTGTACTATAACCTGCTTTTGACACTTGGGGTCCCACTTGCTTGATCTATTTTTACATAAAACCATTATCATATAAAATATCTACATAAACTTCAAATAATTTGGATTCAGTGCTCAAAGAACTCTATATAATTTTCAAAATATTTGATGATTGAACATATAAATGCATGAAGTTTACAAAAATAGATATGATCAAAACAAATAAATGTAAAATGTCGTGCGACTCGATATCGCCATACATCGCTGACATGCTTTATTCACCACTCACACATACCATACATAACGAACGAGAGTGTACACACACAAATGTATCACAACTTTGTTGTTATAGATCCTCGTTCGAACTGAAAGCTTGCGCACAATTCCATGGCTGTGAGATAAGTCTGCTCTCGAGTGACAGGTATGCCATGAGTCCTAGTACCGTGTTCTGAGCTTGTTGGGACCGTCGGGGGGAACTCGTCAAGCACGTGCCATGTGGATCAGCAAAATTCTCTCGAGAGAACAGAGGACTTCCAGATAGCCAAAGTCCCAGCCTCGATGGAAAGATCAGCACTGTCTCCTTGTCAATATTGTGTTGCCTGGTGTACCATGTGAAAGAATGAGTAAAATCTGCTGTAGTATTTCATGCACGAACGCAGCTTCAATTGTTTGCGACTGTCTGAAACAAACTTTTACATAGTCTCTAGGAAAGTACCAAACACATTGTCTCTAGTGATCTCTACCGAATGCGATGGAATATGATTCTGAGAGAGAAACGATGGGGAACAATTTTCACGAAGAAAACCACGAAGAGAAAACTGAGAAAAGTACGAACAAAACCTGAACACAAAAACAAAGCATGAACAAAAAACCAAGAAAAAATCTGAATACACTACACTCACATCTTGAGGCAGTTCTTCGAGTAAAAACATAATAACATAATCGTTGAAACACAAGGTACAAGAGTTGAGCTAAACTCACTACACTCAGGTAGAATAAGATTTGAAGCTAATGGGAAGAATCTAAACGCCTAAGGCTCAACTTGGTTCGAGTTTGACTCGAATATATGTTTGGAAGGTGCGTTGGGTGAAACGCTCCTCAACCTTTTGCCGACTCCGAACGTCACCTGACTCAAACTCGAATCTAACGTCTATACACATGACAAAAACATAAGTAGATATTATTTAATAAATTTCTTCTAATATTTTTTGTTCACAAGTATATTGCTTAATCAATCATAGCATGTAATTTTTGAAATATTATTATTTTGATTTCATCTATGAAGTATGTGATTTTAATCTTACAATTTAAGGTTGTCATATAATTAGTTTTAATTATAATAAAATGAATTGAAATAATCATAATACCTAATTCAAAAAAAATTAACATATAAAATTTGAATTAGATATTAAAAAAATAAATATGTAAAACCATAAATACGTTATTCAGATGAGTGTTGCAGTAAACAAGTCATCGCTTCATTCAATATATTAGAAATAATGAAATTGCACATCATATTTTCAACAAATATCTACTATTATTCAAGCAAATTTCTTTCAAGAAATACAATATCTTATTATATACATAAGAATCCTTTATAAAAAATTCTTATATTATGAAATAAATAACTCAGTTGCATCATCAATTAATAAATATAATGCATATGCACATAGTAAAATTCAATTCATAAAAAAAAGACAAATTAAAAATTTAAAAAATTAATGCAAAAAATAATATATACTTTATTCAATAATTATGTCATATGCGTATCTATTATTGATCGTAATGCTGACAATATAAATTTTCATTTCCATTAATTTGATTTTTCTCCAAAAATTTGAATTCATTTGAGCTAAATTATTTTCTTGCAATATTGCTCTTCACAAGTTACTTGCAATTTCGAATGAGTATCATACTTTTTATTATTGGATCAATTTTTTTTTAAATAACGATGATAATTTAGTACATCAATGTCCATTGAAATCAAATTCAAGGCATGAATATAAATATGTTTTATTATTTTTATTTCGCTATAAAAAAATCTCAATTCATTTGAGTACATACGGAATTTTCTTTATTATAATCTTAAATTCATAGTCCAATATTTTTTGCGAAATATCGGCATAAAATTTGTGAAAGAATATATTCACGATTACTTGCAATAATTTATAATCATCAAAATTGTTATAACTAATCGACCGTGCGGGAAAAAATGAGTAATGTATTAGTCATAAAGTAAAAATAATATATTAAACTTTGGTTATTTTTAATATTTTAATTTTTTCAAATTTCAATCAAAAGATCTTGATGTCTTTCATGTTAGTTATTATATGAAATAATAGATCAGATGTGTAGTTTATTGAATTTATTTATTATTTATTTTATTTCAAAATTTTGATCACATTTTTCATTTGAAATAAATTCAGATATGAATATTTTGTTCCAAAAAATTGTTTATAATTTATTATTGATGTTATCAAAAACTGTAAAAATTCATTGTAAAACACTGTTTAATTTATTTAAACAGACATGACATATGCATTTCATAATCTAGAAATTTAATTTCTCTGTATCTAATATTTTTTAAATGCTAGATTTCAAAAATGATATGGTTTGTTGCATCTACAATTGTTTATAGAAATATTTTCTCCCTTATTAAGTGAGTATCTAAACTGGTCCATAGTAGATAATGAACAGTCCCAAATGGTTCTATACATCAATCATAGATTCATGTGAAGTAATGTCTGAATCTTCAAAATTTCTCACTCTAAAAGAGGATTGTATATCCACTCTGTGACAATCACGAGTTCATGTATTTGTGATGTTTTATGGGGATATATTTGTCAATTATTCAATTTTGTTTGTAATCGCGAGCGTGAATGCTTTATTGAACTTGGTCACCCTATTTACCTCACGCATATTAAGATGTAAAACGATTCGTTTAGCAGCAAAGAAGTACCTAAAGAAGAAGACAAACAAGCATCATACAATAATCTCATGAATAATTGCATCCAGATGGAGGAAACAGATGAACAAGAAGGTACTGGAAGCAGGAGGAAAATCCGTTGAAGGTTGTACACTTGGCGAAAAGGTTGTGGAATTTATCGCGGTTCATTAATCAGAGGAAATAGGATGAGTTGAGTTGATCTCACGTATAACGAGAAACGAGAGTGAGGGAGGGGGAGGCTCAAGGAGAGACCCTAAATATGATGTCTTTCCCTGCTGTTCGTTTTCCCTCCAGTGCATTGAGCACAGCAGAGGCAGGAGAGGCAGTAGCTACGGGACATTGTGGCAGAGGAGACGGGTCGGGATAGCAATCCAGTTGGTTCCAGTCGCGCTGCAGCAAGCGAGTGTGCGAGAGACACGAACCTAAAGAGAGAGCGAGAGGGAGAGAGAAAAGCCCTACATTTTCGTTGGGTGGTCTGGTTTTTTGGACCCTCCTTTTCTGCTGCTCATCACGACCCTTTGCTCGACCTGTTCTGCCTTCTTTCGTGGGAGATTCTGCGCCCAAGAAGATGACTATCGCTCGATCGCCTTTACTTCCAGCTTAGCATGTTTGCCTGCTCATCAGAACGCTGTTCGACCTCGAGCTGCTGGATTTGCTGCCACGGAGGGGATCTTGCTCGTGGGCTGTGAAGGTTGTGGTTGCACAGTGGTGAGAATGAGCGGGTGGAATTATGTAGTGACGGCCCACAAGCCCACGAATGTGACACATTCGTGCGTGGGTAATTTTACGGGTCCGCAGGAGCTCAATCTGATCATTGCGTATCCTTCATCCTTCATCTTTTATTGTTTGGTCGGGTCGAATTTGTTTAAAAAATAAGGAAATGTTGCCTGTGTGCCTTCCCGTCTCCTCTCGCATCGTATGCTCTCCCTCTTCTCCGCAAAGTTTCATAAATTCGTTGATAACATATTCTGTCATTTTCAACAGGATCAAAGCCTTCGGAGACAGAATAGCTGTGTTTTGTTGGTGCTTGTACCTGTCTATATTTTACTATTACCTTTTCTCGCGAGTACCCGAGCATTCTCGATTTTTTCATCACAACCTCATTTCTTACATCATGAAGTCAGCTGCACAGGTTCCTTTTTGTCCCAGATCACAGTAATTATAATCACAGGAGTTCGGTTGTCCAGATTACTGTAGCGATTTCGAGCAAGATAGATGAGTTAAGACGCGACTTCTTCTCATTCTCCTTCGGGCTGGCGAAGAAAATGCATAAACCGTAGCATGTCTTATGTTCTAGTATCTAGCTAGACCAGCGTAACTACACGAGCCAACACGGGCCGGACGATTGTTTCAAGAATGATTGTCGGTATATCTTGTCCTCTAACTGTGGAATGTTGCGCACGAAGAATATAGTTGAGTTTTCGAGTCAGGGGTTTAGTCATCTAAACTAGATGACTAAACCCCTGACTTTGTTTCTCTGGAAGAATTCTTCCTTTACGGGATAACCTGCTTCAGCTTTGGAGAAGCCATTTGGTTTCTCGTGCCAGTGACGGGATAAGAACTAAATCGAATAAGTATGAAAAGTTTCGAAAAGTGCCTGCAGCGAGGAGTTTGAAGTTAAACTCCTAGAGTGAACATAACAAGGGGGATCACACCCATTTTTTCGTGTGCAACCGTGGTCTTCCTAAGAGCATGATACTCTCGGTATTATTGTGAATTCCGGCGAAACGCCTGAGGAGTTCAAGTTAAAATCTAAGCAGTATACGTGTTGTGATTTATACCGAAACCACTTTGGTGGAATGGTAGGTTGTCTGCCCAGCACTAATTGCGGTGCCCTTCTTCATTTGCTGGAATTCCTTGCTGTCACTTGTGCCTGCATCATTGGGATTATGCAGAAGTCCTTCGTCATGAAATAAATTTCTGCCTATTGCTGTCCTTAACCAAACTTAGAAAATGCACCCGAATCGAGATACACTTGTTGACTCCGCAAGGCCTTCAGGTACATCGTGGTTTTCTCTTCACGTTTTACTTACTGAAAGCATCCGATGAATTTTAATTTCAAAAGTAATCTCGGCTTAATTCGTTGCCATTAGAAGGTCTTTGTACTCTGCGGAATAGCCTTCATGGCAAATGACATTTTTTGGATTCGTGGTTTTTGATCAGAAGAAGCGCACGACTAGTCAGATGTGAGCAGTCATGTTGATAGGAAAAAAATTGATTAGACCTGGAAAATGTTTTGTTACTTTTACTTTTCATATTTTGATACGGGTTTTCCGGAATGAGGTCTTGGCTTTGCAATTTAAAATATCGCAATTCTGTTTGCAGCCTATGTTGGACGTCCCAATTTATGGTCGAATTGCTACGTTAGAGCTCTTTCGCCCAACGGTAAGATATAAGCTGAAACCTACGTGACTCACCGTAGCAATCCTCTAATAACTATCTAGCAAGATGCTTCGCTGATACAGTCATGCCACATAGCCCTTACTAATAGCGGTGTTCCTCCAGGGAGAATCTCAAGACGTGCTCTTCATATCAACGGAGAGGTACAAATTTTGCGTACTGCAGTGGGATGCAGATTCTGGAGAACTTGTTACAAGGTAAGTCTCCAATGCCCACCTTGTTAAGTTATATGCCCACCATTACAACTATATTTGTTAACTAGGACCAGTATTCTTCAAATGCCTAAAGAGAAAATGTTTACTTTTGGTCTGCCTGGAAGCATTTGATTATCAAACAATGAACAGATAATAGCTGGTCGAATTTGAGCTTTTTCCTTGGGACTCTACGATACAGGGGTCTAACCTTGAGATAGTTTCCATTCAAATTAATCAGTGATGTAAGGTTATTCATCATCCTGAGCAAATTTTGTTGTGCCAAGCTCTTAGTACGCTGCTCCTTTTAGGCAAATTCTCCCATGGTTTGGGAGAGCACTAACATTATCTCAGGGTAATCAAGGAACTGTTAGTGAATCCTATTTGATGCAATTGATTATTATGATGTCTGCGAATGTGGGACTAGCTTCCTCATCTCTTATTCCCACCGCAGTCTTTTGAGGTAGGCCCGGCTACAGCATTTGCGCAAAATTAAAGGAAGGTTTTTCATTAGGTTATTTATATCAATATCACCTGGATCTCCATTGTGCGTCAGCAGAGTCTGGTCAGAAACCCAGTCCCTACACTTTTTCTAATGGGTTTCTTATGTGTTTGTCGAATACAGGGCTATGGGTGACGTTTCGGATCGCATTGGCCGACCTACTGATAATGGACAGGTCCTGATTCTTGTCACTCATCCAGTTTCTCGCCTTATTCCTTCTTCAGTTCTACAGCAGAAAATTTTGATGTTCACTTGGACATCAGGATAGTTTTGAAGTTGACAAGGGTGCTTTCTTCTGAATCGGATCCGGTGTTGGCTGATGACTCTTTCTTTGAGTCCAGTAAAAGCTGAGGCGAGCTAACTTTTTGGTTAAATACTTGCAAGATCTGAAAGTCGTAGGTGTTGGTGACTTACATTGTGCGATATATAATACGTATCACCTTCGATTGAGCATAGTGATACATCTCACTGTCGTGCGTGAGATACCATGAGCAACTTCGGACTCCTATTAATCATGCGTTCACATGGAATCTAATGACGAACTATTCCCTGAAATTCATTCAGAGCTTATTCCAGATTTTTACTCCGTCTGAGTCTTGCACAAGGTCTCTTTTAATGAGGTCTAGAAATTACACACGGGTGTGTTACGAATTATATCGTAAAAAAATAGGGCGAGATCTGCAAGTACTTAAGCTGGCTGTATTCTACTGTTCTTGTCGTGATGTGCCAGATTGGTATTGTTGATCCAGATTGTCGCCTGATCGGACTTCACTTGTACGATGGTTTGTTTAAGGTAGAAGGTCACGCATCGGATTCCTTGTTTATCAGAGTTAAATATCTTTTATGCTTTGATACAAGTAGATCGTTACATGTTAAAATCTCAAATTTCTATGATCAGATTTGATGACAAGACTTCTCATGATAATCTTTGTGCGGGTCATTGCAGGTCATTCCAATCGACAACAAAGGTCAGCTGAAGGAGGCTTTTAATATACGGTAAGACCTTTTATCTTCTGACATTCTTGCAGCCTTTTCTAAGTGTCCGAGACTTCTGTTGTTCTGGATCAGAAGAGGGTATTTCTATCATTATCCAGCTATACAATCTTTGTTGGTTTGTATAAAAGGAAGCCACACTGTATACTCATGGCCATATGAGTGTATTTTTGTTGGCTTGCTTAGACATGTAGATGGAATTGCTACCTATGGGCCTCAACAAGTCATCAGAAGGATGTTGAAGTTAGCACACAAGCCCTTAGCATGGCTCATATGTGGCCTTGCTTGGATTTGATGAGGTCTTGAACATTGTGGAGTATGCTGATATGGGGACAGTTATGTTGCCACAAAATATGATGCAGTTAGTTAAATGGTGCAGGCTGGAAGAATTGCAGGTTCTTGACATCAAGTTTTTGTATGGGTGTTCCAAGCCCACCATTGCCGTCCTATATCAGGTTTATTTCACCTTCACCTCCTTTGGATACATGACGACGTGCTTCAAGCTGCGTCTTGGTTGACTCCAGCCGTTGTTCTATGAAAATTGTTCATTAAAATTTCGGAGCCAGTATATGGTTTACATATGAACTCATGAAGCAGCGGGGCCGGACTTTGATTGATGAAAAAGTTGAAACTGGACTTAGCTAGGTGGTTGTCTGAAAATTTAGCTACATGTGCAGTAGAAGATACATTGTTTGTATAGATCGTTTTGTAACTAAGGATGAAAGTTCGTCAAGATATGGAGATACATCAGCTTCATTGTGGCTCTGTGGATACCAAAGTTGATCGAGTTTTAACTTTCAGGCTGTACTCTTTTCAATGTCCTTATATGTTCTCGCTCTTTATGCACTTTCACAGAATGTTTAACGCTAGAGTATGTGCTGGCTTTGGATTTTGGAATGTGTGAACTGCGTTTCTTTCCATATTTCACGTCATTATTAGCCTATTGACCCCTTTATTCATCAATCTTCCGGATTCTCTTCTACCTCAGTAGCCGATTGATCTGGGTCCAGTGCATCTCTTACCAGATATGTGATGTTTATTCATGTTACTCAGGATAATAAAGACGCCCGACACGTGAAAACTTATGAAGTCCAACTGAAGGAAAAAGATTTCGGAGAAGGTCCATGGCTCCAGAACAATCTTGATAATGGTGCAGGCCTGCTTATCCCAGTCCCACTACCGCTAGGTGGGGCCATAATTATCGGGGAACAGACTATCGTCTACTACAATGGTTCTGTTTTCAAGGCGATACCGATCCGCCCGGTATGTGTAATCAAACCTTGCTCTGTGACGGATTTGGAAAGAATTTTGCTTCAACGCACTAACATCTAAAGCTTACTCTCCCTCACTGAGTCAGAGGAACGCTTAAGATCACCTTTTTGATTCATTATTAGTAGTCGAATCTTTCTGTATTGGCTTCTTACATAGAGTTCCCGAACTAAATCTTACACCCAAAGTTTGCCTTTCTATGTTGAATTGAGCTTCTGATGGGAAGAACTTTGTGTTACATTGGGCCTTTTTGTTAACTGCAGTCAATCACTAAAGCATATGGGCGAGTGGATGCGGATGGATCTCGCTACCTCTTGAGTGATCACGCAGGAATGCTGCACTTGCTTGTTATCACCCATGACAAAGAACGGTTTGTGGATGTCCTTTCTCATGACCTAATTTCCGATCTTTGCGTTGCATATATATTGCTTTGCACTATTGATATACTTTGCATTCAACTTGAAAGGTCTCCCTGCTCTATGTCCGAAAACGATGTCCTCCAATGGGGAGTTTGAGCCCATTAAGTATCGTAAAATCAGCCTATGAAAGTTGCTGGTATGTGAGTGGGATGGGATGTATGTTGGAAGAATCAAACTAAAAAGAGTTACTTGCTACAGGGTTTTGGGGTTGAAAGTGGAACCTCTTGGAGAGACATCAGCAGCATCGACACTCTCTTATCTAGACAATGGTGTTGTGTACGTAGGTTCCAGTTACGGAGATTCGCAGGTATTTAGTCTGTATCTTGATCCCTTGAGAGTATTCTAGATCCAGATACAGCTCTGTCCAAACTTGTATATAGCTGCGGAAATAGTTTAGTCCTCTGAAGATTGAGTGCATACCTTACACATATCTTGGTCCATAACATACCTCCAAACATTGGTGAAAATCCCTCATGAATCTGTGTATCTGCCTGCCAAACTAATTCGCATTTTGGCGGTGCGTGCAGCTCATCAAGCTGAATTCTCAAGCTGATTCGAAGCAGTCTTATGTAGAGGTGTTGGAAAGCTTCGTTAACTTGGGACCTATCGTCGATCTATGCGTAGTAGACCTGGAGCGGCAGGGTCAAGGTCAAGTCGTAACTTGTTCCGGTGCATTCAAGGATGGTTCTCTTCGGATAGTACGAAACGGCATCGGCATCAATGAACAGGTTGATTGCATGGTCCATGTGAATGCGTGCTGCACTTAAGATCTGAAAAATGGTCTCTATCTTTGGATGAAACGCGGCTTTGTTTCCATGCACTTGATTAAATGTGTCAACTCAGGGATTGTCATTAAGTTGAGCAGCTAACTGGAGTGGTCTTCCGTTTGGGACTGATTTTATTTTTCATACTGGATTATTTTAATTCTTTATGATTTTATTTTTTCCACATCTTGATGCACGTCTGTCATCTGTTAATGTTTTGTAGGCTTCAGCGGAGCTTCAAGGAATAAAGGGAATGTGGTCGTTGAGAGCTTCTTCTCAAGAAGCCTTCGATACCTTTTTGGTGGTGAGCTTCATAAGCGAAACTCGCATCTTGGCTATGAATGCTGAGGACGAGTTGGAGGAGACAGAGATCGATGGCTTTGACTCAGAAGCACAGACTCTCTTCTGCTTCAATGCAGTTCATGATCAGCTTATCCAGGTATAAGTCCTACAAAATGATTTTTTGTAATGTGGTAAGTGAGGTTATTAAGTCAATACTTAGAGCGATTCGTTGGTTTAATGCAGGTCACAGCAAGCTCTCTGAAGTTGGTGGATGCTGCTACAAGGAGACAATTAACTGAATGGAAGGCACCGCCTGGAATAGCCATAAATGTTGCTACGGCCAATGCTACTCAGGTGATTTTTTTGGTGACCTATGTCCATCTGTAGGTTCCTTGTAATATAGATCTTTAAAATTAAAATTGTGATCGGAGCTTGAACGATGTTTGATAGGAGCGGAGGCGTCCTTTGGACTTCAAGATTATTCCTTGCCAACTAATCTGCTAATTGGAAACAAATGTTCTGTGTTGCGCTAGGTTTTGCTTGCTACAGGTGGCGGAAATCTGGTCTATCTGGAAATAGGACACGCAACCCTGACAGAGTTGAAGCATGTACAACTTGAATATGAAATTTCCTGCCTAGACATTAATCCAGTAGGTGATGATCCCAATCGCAGCCAGCTCGCAGCAGTTGGTATGTGGACAGACATAAGCGTTCGTGTCTTCTCTCTTCCAGACCTACACGTGATCACGCAAGAAAGACTGGGCGGGGAGATCATTCCCCGTTCCGTTCTGTTTTGTTCATTTGAGGGGGTATGTATCTGCCGTCTTACAAGTTCAATCGCTGCATGTTTACACGCAAAGAACTATCGTTCATATGTACTTGGACAGAGTGACTCTTACAAACTCCTCTTCTTAGAATCCTTCCTTATATGGCCGTAGAATCCATCGATTGCTACTTTGTAAATTTCTAATTTGTTCTTCGTCCTGAACGTTAATCGCTTCTTTTGAAGAAAGTGACATCTACTCATAGCCTGTGTCCATCCACCGTACTCTTCACAGATTCCATATCTGCTTTGTGCTCTTGGAGACGGCCACCTGTTCAATTTCGTTTTGGATTTGCCCAGTGGGCAGTTATCGGATCGTAAGAAGATCTCATTGGGCACCCAACCCATAACTCTCCGTACATTCCGTTCGAAGAATGCAACTCACGTCTTTGCGGCATCAGACCGCCCGACAGTCATCTACAGTAGCAATCGAAAATTGCTCTACAGCAACGTGAACTTGAAGGAAGTAAATCACATGTGTCCTTTCAACTCAGCTTCTTTCCCAGACAGGTTTGTATTCTTTCCCAGAGATAGAAGGCCTGAGTCTCAGTGGTCATGTTCTTTGATTACATTAGGAAAGACGGTACGGCTTTTTTACCAGCGGTAGAAGCATCACTAGAAGACTTTGCTTCCTGAAACTAGTATGTTCTTTGTTAATATTTTTTGATTGTGACAATGAAGGCTTGCACGTCTTAACCTCGATTGGAGAGGTTATCAGCTTACAGCAGAGTAGCGGCAGAGTTTCGTGCAGGTGATATACTATCTTTCTTTGATGGATAAGGCTAGTAGTGCAATGACTGATTTTGGAAACCTCTTATACAGCCTGGCTATCGGTAAAGAAGGGGAGCTCACGATTGGCACTATAGATGATATACAAAAGTTACATATTCGTACCGTGCCTCTTGGAGAACAGCCTCGGCGAATTTGTCATCAGGAATCCTCAAGGACCTTTGGGCTTTGTAGTGCCAAACATCAAAATTCCTCAAACGGGGAAGATATGGAATCTCACTATGTTCGGTTGATCGACGACCAGACCTTCGAGATAATCGCGACGTATCAGCTCGACACTTATGAAACTGGTTGTTCAATCATCACGTGCTCCTTCGCCGACGACAGTAACGTATACTTTTGTGTGGGGACCGCTTACGCTCTGCCTGAAGAAAACGAACCTAGCAAGGTCCGTATGTCTCTGGTCTAGCTTATTCATTTTATCGATTATCGTAAATTTGCGTTGTTCCAAAATTGAACGTAGATCGATAGCTGAATTCAAGCACTGAACATATGTTTGTTGACCCGTATCTGAACAGGGACGTATCTTAGTTTTTGTTGTCGAGGACGGAAAGCTGCAGTTGCTAACTGAAAAGGAAACCAAGGGTGCCGTTTATAGCTTGAATGCATTCAATGGGAAGTTATTGGCAGCTATTAACCAAAAGATTCAGCTCTACAAGTGGACCTTGAGGGATGACGGTTCCCGAGAGTTGCAGTCTGAATGTGGTCATCACGGACATATCTTAGCGCTTTATGTTCAATCACGTGGAGATTTCATTGTGGTCGGTGACCTGATGAAATCAATCTCGCTTCTTATGTATAAGGTGGGTCAATCTTGAGTTTGACGGTTGATGTCTTATATTTGGCTGTGTTGAGAGAAAGTATGTCGGGCTTGTCATTGAAAGATGTGGGTTGTTCATGTCCCCTTAATATCTCCGGATTTTTTTATGCAGCCTGAGGAAGGTGCGATCGAGGAACGTGCTCGTGATTACAATGCCAACTGGATGACAGCTGTGGAAATTTTGGACGATGACACATATTTAGGGGCCGAGAACAGTTTCAACCTTTTCACGGTGAGGAAAAACAATGACGCTGCAACAGATGAGGAGAGGGGAAGACTAGAAGTGGTTGGTGAATATCATCTTGGAGAATTTGTGAACAGATTTCGTCATGGTTCACTTGTGATGCGCCTCCCAGACAGCGAGGCCAGTCAGATCCCGACAGTAATATTTGGAACCGTTAATGGTGTGATAGGAGTCATTGCTTCTCTTCCACCAGATCAATACGCATTCCTTCTTAGATTACAGCAGAGCCTTGTGAAGGTGATCAAAGGTGTAGGGGGATTGAGCCATGAGCAGTGGCGATCTTTCAACAACGAACGCAAAACTGTAGATGCGAAAAACTTCCTCGATGGAGATCTGATCGAGTCATTCCTTGACCTCAGTAGAAACCGCATGGAGGAGATCGCGGAAGGTCTAGAGGTTACTGCGGAAGAGCTTTGTAAGCGAGTTGAAGAGTTGACTAGATTACATTGAGTAGAACCGAGTCAGTAGTTGTAACTATGATCTGAAAAGAGTTTATAGTACCTAAATTTCCAGATATCTGTACAGTTTTTACACCATCAATCGAAGGACCACCATCGCTGACTAAAAGCGGTAGGTTGCGAGGCTCAGAGGTTAGTCAGATAATTAACGATGTCTTAAGCAAAAGCAGATTGTTCACTTCCGAGCCATATAATCGAGATTTGTTTGAGTCTACATTGCAAAATCTTGCACACTACACACAACTGTTTGATCTAAAGTTTACCGATGTTACATCCATACGCCAGACTCTTAGTATTTGATTATTCTGAGTCCTAAAAAATCAGAACTTTGAGCTAAACGGTCTCGTTGGCACAGCTGCTGAGCGCTGGTTAATAATCCTGACCGAGTGTTTCAGAATCAAGTCGAAGTACTCAGCCACGTTAAAAGCCACCTATTAATCAATAGCTGTGTCTTAGGTGGCCGTGTTTTTTATCAACACCCACGTGATCACTATCTCTGTGAGGGCACAGGACAAGGTAGAAGACGCAGACTGAGGATCGAATGAAAACCTGCTGTCACTCAGGAGGTTCAAGCGAGCTATGATGGCAAGTTAGGGAATGGCTGGAATGGTGGGGTTTTGGGCTCAGGCTCAGAGTATTTCGACTCTTTGACTGGAGCTCGCGAACTTGGGATCGACATGGAAGGCCCAAGCGGAGGGTGCGCGAGTATTCCAGTGGACGGTTCAAGGTTTTTGTCGTATGGCCACAGCGGAAGAAGATTTGCAATCGTGGGGTCCGGGAGGCCATCGACATCGGTCCTTCGAACGCTGAATCAGAAATGTAGTGCATCGAGCGCCGGAGAGAGGGCGAAGAGGAAGACGGGAAGCGGAGGCTTGGCCGGATGTGTCGTGGGGTTTACCGCACCTGCCCACTACGCCCCTCGACTGTCGGAGCTTCTCCGGCACGAGGGCGCTGAGGCATTGTGGTGTCCGACGATTGCGACCGAGTGCACCGACGAAACTCGCGCAGCAGTGGAATCAGCCGTCGAGCAGATATTCTAACGCTCTGTAGACGGAGTCGCATTCACATCGCAGACGGGAATCAAAGCATTTGCCGATGCACTCCGAGGTCGTAAATTGCCCGGGGATCCATTCATCGTAGCCGCCCTCGGAAGAGACGGGGATTATCTGAACGAGCTGAATGTGATCGACTGCAAGGTGCTCGGTCCTGCAACACCGACGCCGTCGGGGCTCGTCGAGGCTTTGGGAGAGGGCAAGGGCCGGAGGATTATGTGCCCCGTGCCATCGGTGGTCGATCTCGAAGAGCCTCCAGTGGTTCCGGAGTTCCTGCGAGATTTGACGACGCGCAATTGGAGGCCTGTTCGAGTGAACGCTTACATCACGCGGTGGATGGGTGCGGAGTGTGCCAAAGGACTGGTCAGCGGTAGCATGGACGCCCTCATTTTCACCAGCAGTGCTGAAATCGAAGGGCTTCTGAAGAGCCTGAACTCACTGGGAGAAGACCCGAGCAAGTGGACAGACGAGAAGCGCAGGCCATTTCTGGTCGCAGCCCATGGCCCCGTGACCGCCCATGGAGCAGCCCGCCTTGGCGTTCCAGTCGACGTCGTGGGGTCCAAGTTCTCCAGCTTCTCGGGCGTCATCCAGCAGCTCAGCCATCGCGTGGCTCTCGACCGACGCACATGAAAAGTGCAGCCCAAGCTTTCCACCGCTCTTGGGTTTCATTACCTGGTTACGCGAAGATGAGAGATGGCCAGAATTGACTAATGCACGAACGTGGATTGGATTATTCAGACCTCGAACTAATTCCCTCGCTGAGAAAACTCAAGAATCTATCCATACCTGCTGTCGAGAAAGGGTCTGCGCTTGCTGCAAAAGTTGGGTCAGAGCTTCAAAGCTCTCAAGACTCTGAAATGAGAATATTAGCACTCGAGTGTCTCATAAGATCCAATAGATCTCGGTGCCAGGTTTTCATTACCCTGTAGCTCTGTCTCTGTACTGTTTATACAAATTATTCTACCTTGTCGCCAAGAATTTCATGAAATACAAAATGACAATCAATACCCTGGTGGACGAGAGAATGGCCAAAAGCTAGCAAGTAAGAAGAAGTAGAGTTTATTGCAACAATGTAATCTATTTCGATCGAAATGTTCAGCCGCAAGAGTGGCGATATCCTCGAAGTCATTATGGATTCCAAGATTATGGAGAACATCGTCGCAGAATTGGTTTCTTGTCCTAACGACAAGTTGAAAGGCGTTGTCCCTACAAAAATTCATGACGCTATTCAAGAAAGTGATAGTCACCACGACATTGAGTTCCATCACAGCGAGAAATGCGAACCGATTCGAACTTGCTCTCGATCATACTTCAGTTGGTTTGTTGGTTAATCGGTTTGTCAAAGGCCTGCTGTCACTTATAAACACGAAGAAGCTGATGATGGTCTTCAATGAATGATCACCATTCAGTGTCAACCATCGATCTTCAACGCATATGGCATCGTATGCTCTCCTCGTGTGTGGCACTTTGAGTTTGCTGTTGATAACTTCACGATATGTCATACTTTGACATCAGAACTCGCGTTCAATTTAAATATTCCTAGGAAGATCTGCACCCACTTGTAGTGCAGATTACTACAGATCTCTTCAGAATACTGTATATTCTGTAGAGAGCATTAAATCACATCGTACATAGATAAAATTTATTTAATTTTTTATTAATAAATAATATTTACTTATAACTTATTGACTGTAATATACATTGTAAATTAGTTACATAATTTGGAAACCAGCTCATCTGTTCTTCACGAAGAGATCAATCTGACATGCATGAGCTTGATCTCAGACTTGTTATCAGGCTGTGTTCCCAGACCAATGATTCAACATTGCTCTCTTCGATGGCAATACTGTTCTGAGCTAAAATAATGATCGTAAATCTGCACTACAAGGGGGTGCAGATTTTCCTAGGAATATTTAAACTGAACGAGTTCTGATGATATCTCTATAAAATTAATCTATTTTTGAAATTTGATCAAGCTATATATATCATTGAACATTTCAAATCACAAATTTAAATTACATACGTCAAATTGTCAAAATATTTGTATGATCAGATTCTAAAGTTACTATCAAAAAATTGTGCTTAAATAATAGATCTTTAAAAAAACTTAATACTATGAGCAATATTGCATTATATTTCGCATGTTTTCTTTTCATGTGTGAATCTCCAAACATATGAAAATCATCAATATACAATATCTGTATGATAGAAATTGTATGTAAAATAATATCAAAATTATGCTTTATTCATAGGGGAATGTTGAAAAGACGTTAGATGTTAAAACAATCACAATGATACCAAAGACGTTGAAATTTGACAGGTCGCGGTCACATGACCTGTCAAAATTGAATTTTATCTCATATATATTTTGTCTTTATCATGTTTGGCTGCTTATTCCTTACATTTCATCCAGCTCTCGATGTTTTGAATTCCTTACATGAAAGTGCTCCTAGAAGACATGTTACCACCTCCAGAAACATCATATTCGACAATTAAATATATGCTGCCAAGAGTCCAAACCTTTGTTCACGCACTAAGGGCTATACTTTTACAAAGCGGCGTGGATACTCAAGTATTTGTTTACACTCAAGCTTATGTGGTCGTTTTAATATTATATGTGATGGTTTTAACATTCTCTATTTATATAGTTAGTAAATATGTTGTTTACTAACAAGACATATTTGAATTATGTATATTTATTCATATTTTTATGCATTTCTAACCAAAATAATTACTTATCATTAAGCCATGTAAATATATGTTATGATTAAATCAAACAATTCATGGAATATTTATCGCAAAATTTTAACTGCAGAAATTGCCATAAGATATAGCTAGTAATGCTTCTTGTACCGTATGAAAATGGCGAGAGTCTCTCTCACTACCTTATTTTAATTTACATGCACATGCGGACTAATGACTCGGTGACATTATGTTTGCTTAGCTCCTCCATGCTACGCTGGACAATTTTATTAACAGTTGGAGGGATATTTGCTATAGATGCTTCGGATCCTTTATGAAATGTGAAGGATTGAGTATAAGAAAGTTATTTTGTAGTAATAACTTTGAAAGATATAGTAGTTTCGCTCATAATAGTTTTATGATATTTGGCAATCTTATCTTGTGTACCCGAAATGTCCGATTTGCATGAAAGTATAAACAGAGTGATTCCTTGTCGGTACATACCTTCGTGCGTGTTCACAATGGTTATATGCGAGGGCTGAGATCAGGCCCGATGTCAATACAGTATTCCTAAATTTCAGAGATCGATTTGCATTTATTGACAATCAGCCTTGCATACAATTTGTCAATACATCGTTCTTAAGACTTCAGCAATCGATTTGCATTTATCGACTGTCAGCCTTGCATACATTTTGTCGCAAACGGTGTTGACTTCTCGAGAGCTTGGTCGACTGTCTAGGTGTATGTATGATTACGTAGCTCTCGAGGATTTTCTCTGGCCGCCGAAGGGATCGTGCCATCATCCGGGTTCTGCAAATAATGTCATCTGAGGGATGTGCTGAGAGGTGGATGTTGCACTTTGAGCCAATAACGCAACTATCGCCCTTGCTCAACATTGCTTACAAGTAGATTGCAACGTGCTCGCAAGAGTTCAGTTGACTTAAATCAAGACAAAACTCTCATTTCGTGAAACCTTGCCCAGCACGTAGTTGTGATTCAGAAGAAGTGCACGAGAAAGAAACCTCTGTATGAGCTGTATTTAAGAAGGGGCCCCATCATGCAAAATCAGTATCACTTCTCGTCAGCTCAGCATCAGTGGTGAACTCCACTCCACTCCAGTCCTCGCAGCTCATACTTGGAGCACATTTTCGAGTTCGCTCGGCCAACATGGTGAACAGCCGCAGTCTAGCCCTCCTGGCAATGTTCGCCGTGGTGCTTGCAGTATCAAGCTCGGTGACAGCAGCCGACTATTATGAGACCGAGTTCGTCAATGAGTATAGTCTGGATATCGATGTACAGCTAGCCTTCTCCTCCAAGGATTACTACCGATACAAGGGAGTCGACGAGTTTACAATTCATGGTCAAGTGTCAAGAGTGATCTCCTACTCGTTACAGAAGGTTTTGAACATTTTCGACGTCCGTGCGCTTCTCTGGGAGGTCAAAGCAGTCGTTGATGGTGAGCTCAAGCACGCGTTCGTTTTGGTGCCATTTGATGCCAAAGTGGTCATCACCGTCAGAGCAGCTGGTCCTTGTGCGGATGTCTATGTTAGTAGCAAGATTTCTCATCGACCTATTCTCGTCGGTCGCGCTTATTTACACTAGGCCACTTGTAGGAAAAATAGATTTGTAGACTCGACGCATGTAGCGGAGAAAATTCAATTTGAGGTCTCTAAGAGAATTATCTGGATTTAAAGTGTTTGGATCCCAGAATGAAGTTTCCAATTTGTAATAAGATTGTTCCGTTCGTATGCTATCGGTGACGATTGCAAGCAACGTGAACTTATGCTTCATTATCATTACCTTCGGTGTTTACGAAAACTACGATCGAAGTCCACTGGTATGCGGAGTTTATCTCGAATATATAATTTGTCACATGATATATATTTTAGCTTTCAATTTAAGGCTGCGGGTGTGCAGCACCATAATGATATATTCGTGCAACCCATTGTCGTGCATTAAAAAGCTTGCTTAGACATCGAGAGATTTGCATCAGTTTAGGATCAAACCAGCGTTGTATGATGAATAACTTATGCAAGGGAACCACCTCAAACCGATGGATTTCAGCACAGGTGAAGAGCTGGGACTGATTTATCTGAATGGCTGATACTGATTTGCTTGGAAATATCAATATTGAAATCAGCATGTGTAAATCCCACGAATCCATGTGATCTTGCGAGAAGATTTGTATGTTTCTCTGATGGGGAGCTTCGGATGGCGGTTGTTAAATTATTGGAAGTAGCCGACACCGACAGAGATAGGCAGGTAGAGAATACGAAGTGGCGCGAGATAGCTCTCTCGCGCCATTTGCTGGATGGTCTGCCTTCCACAGCCTTTAGAAAATCTAGATATGTAACTTGAGTATAACGTGTGTTCCATTGTTTGATTGGACAAGAAATTCACAAAAAACAATTCTTACCTCAAATGCAATCCATGAACACAAGCATTTTGGGACTGTAAAACAAAGAAACTAGAATAAGCAAGAGAACGAAGTGGAGAGAACCATCTCGAGATAATTGCTCACAGCTACGTTTTGCCCACTTTGCCATTAGAAACGGGTTTAGGGGCCGAAGACCAGAAATGGCTTCACGATTTCCGTGCATTTGGCCTACTGAGAACAAGACAAAGGTACCGTATCAAACATTAATGTCACAATTTGGACAATAGTCTTACATCTCGAGACCCGTTCAAGATGATGAATCTTCAGAAACAGCCAACTGTTGAGTAGTTCATCATCAGATGCCATGCTTGGCTTCTTATGGAGGAAGATCAGAATAAAATATGCATCCATCGAAAATGATACTGGAAACGATATCCAGCTTACATTTTCTTCTCCGATTGTCTTGAGAAATATCATTCATTTTGCATAGCATGAGACTTGTACGGAGGGCCTAGTATAAGATATCTTCATCATACTCGTCTACCGTATGATGACAAGTAGGTGAAAGATTAGTAATCTTGAGATGATTATCACATAATTTGGATTCTTATTTATTGCAACATGATGTGGAATACAAAGATATGATTTATGATTTAGAACGCACAACATACTACCTCTTCACCTTGTTACAATAAAGCATATAATTGCAAGAAAGAAACAATTGGCTTTTGAGTAATAGAGACAAACTATTTCTAATTAGAGTTAGATTGTTGTTAACTTTTGTTGTTGTTTGACCATTTTGTATTGTGATGTTCAGTATGAAAGTCTTCATAAACGTAAAACCAAGAACTTTAGTGAAACATTCAAGCCAAACACAAGAAACACTTCGTATTATGTGGTTCTTCCTCAAGGATTGCGTTCACGGCTGAAACACGCCAGAGAGTTTATTGACAACTGAATACAATGCGTACAGAGTAAAAGCCTTGGGGGTATATATATACCTAACAAAACCTTGGAGTTAGATTGTTACAACATGAAGTTTCTCCTTAACAGAAGTTTACCTCAACAATCTCCCCCTTAACTAGTGTTAAAGAAATGGTAACCTATGTGACAAATATTAATACTCAGCGATAAGTTCTAGACAAAAACCTAACACAAGGTCTTTATTTACAAGGGAGTTAACTAGAACTAAATCCCAGCTATATCATGATAGAGTAATAACATAAGGAATTAACTAGAGAATCTTCTAGTATAGAGTAATTACAGATCTTGTAACATATATAATTACTCTGCGAAAAGTTCTAAAAAGAAATTCAATACAAGCTTACTCTTTACAAAAGAGTTAAATAGAATCAAATTGTAGCCATCACATGATACAGTAAATATATAAAGAGATAACTGAAGAAAATATGCTAGCAAATTTTACCTGTGCTCTTCATGCACAACCTGCATGGTAACATAGTGTCGTCAGAAACACTCCAAAGGAATAACTTTAGTCAAAGCATAAGCTGGATTGAGTTTACCGTCCATCTTGACTAGTTCAATTGTTTTATCAGATAATTCTTGTCTGATAAAGTGAAATCTGATGTCGATGAGCTTCACTCTGCTACCCATGACCTAATTTGCAGCCAAATATAAAACACTCTGACTATCACGATGAAGATTAATCACGCCATGCGTCAATATTATTTTCATGATAAGTCTATTCAACCAAATAGTTTCCTTTGTTGCTTCTGCCGTTGCCACATACTCAGCTTCGGTTGTTAACTGAGCTATACATTTTTGCAACTAATGCTTCCACCGCCAAGTGTAAACACATACCTAGTTGTAGATATTCTTCGATCTAAATACTGTCTATAGTCAACATCAACGTAGCCAAAGAAGAATTTGGCATTGTCTAATAAATCATCTAACAATAAACCATAATTTATATTATTTTTCAAATGACTCATAATTCATTTCACTGCGTCTCTAGTGAACTTTCCCTAGATTCGACATGTACATGCTCACATTGTTCATCGCAAAGCCAATATTGGGCCTGGTGCACACCATCAAATACATGAGACTGCGTATAGCTTGTTCATATGAAGCACATGACATTTTTCTTTTTTCTACAACATCGGTAATACATTGAGCTGCAGAGAGTTTGAAATGTGCTGCTAAAGGAATCCATAATCCTTCAGAATCATCCATGTTAAACTTGTCAAGTATACAATGAACATATTTGCCTTGACTTAACCATAGACTCTTCTGTTCAAAATCCCTATGAACATACATGCCAAGTATGTTTTTTGAATTCCGCATATGCTTCATATTAAATGAAAACTTCAAGGAACTCTTGCATTCGTCAACATAAGAGTGATTCTTTGCCAAGATGAGCATGTCGTCTACGTAAAATACTAGAATGATGAGAGTGAATGTTTCATCATTCACATTCTTCACGTAGACACAAGTATCATAGACGCTCCGTAAAAAATCTTGTGACTTCATAAACTCATCAAATCTCGTGTTTCATTGACTAGTAGCTTGTTATAGTCCATACAATTATTTCATTAGTCTACAAACCAACCTCTCTTTGCCTTTGACTTCAAAGCCAACCGTTTGTTTCATGTAGATATCTTTCTCTAAATATCCATAATGAATATCAGTAACCACATCCATATGATCCATAACAAGATTGAATATTGCAGCCAGTGTATATACCAAACAAATTGTAACATACTTCGCCACAGGTTAGATAATTTTGTTGTAATCCACACTCTTTTTCTATGTGAAACCTCTAGCCACCAACCTAGCTTTGAATATTTTTGCCTCGTCTCCTACTTGATTGTACTTTAGTTTGTACATCCATTTGGAGTCAATAAGTGTCTAATCTTTATGAAGCTCAATAAGCTTCCAAGTCTTTTTGTCAATCAGTGACTTCATCTCCTGCTCAATATCAACATTCCACTCAAGCTTGTTGATCGAAGCGTGAGCTTCCATGTATGAAAAATGTTCAACTTCTTTCAAGATCAATGTCAAATCATCCCATACTCTGCATCAAAGTCACAATCTTTGAGATTAGATGAATTGACCCATACACCAAACCTTTTAAGAGTCCTACTAGCACAATGCAATCTCATAGTAGACGTTTCAGTTTGATGTCTATTGTTTAGTATTGTTGCAATATGCTCATCAACAAAAACTTGCTCATGTAGCTCTTGTTTCTGATGCACCGGTGCTTCTTCATATGACAGATGATTAGTGACATAATGATCTAACTCCCCCACAACACTTTAGCTCTTATTCTTGATGCACCGGTGCTACTTCATATGACATATGATTAGTGACATAATGATCGAACTCCCTCATAACAACATCCATGATTGGATATTTTTCCTTGTCAATACGAGAAGACTCAAAATTTTCCCCCTCTTTCAATAAGCCGGGCTCATTGAAAGAAACATCACTACTGACAATCACCTTACGAGCTACTAGATTCCATAGCACGTAACTTTTCACTCCACTAGTATATCTAAGAAAACAAAGTTTCTTGAACGTAGAATCTAACTTAGTCATGTGCTTCTTTGGTGTGATAGAATAAGCATTACAACTAAAAAAATTTCAAACGACTGTATCGCCATTTTTTTATGTCGGAGTTTAAACAGTGTGGAGAACCTGATTGCACTAGAAGAAGAAATGTTTACCAAATAAACTGTGATGTTTACAACTTCGGCCAAAAATTTTCATGGTAAATCGTATTCATTTAGCATACTCCGCATCTTCTCCAACATTATTTTGTTATGTCTCTGAAAACAACATTTTGTTGTCGTATATAAACGGTCACGAATTTACGAGTAATATGTGTGAGTCTAACATTCCAAAAGAGATCAAGTTCTTTTTCATGTTAGGTATAAACCTAACATGGGTCAGTAAACTATTGACATCATTAAACATTTAGATCCTTACATATTCAACACCCTCAATTATACAATGTTTGTCATTCCCCATAAGAATTGAACTGCTTGATCTGGAGAAAGTACATAAAATCTCTCTAATGTAACAAATGTGATAAGAATAAGCATTATCCAAAATTCATATGTTACCAACAACTTACGGTGAACTATAGAGGTCATACCTCTAACATCATAGACTGTTGGCAAACATGTCCTCCTCTTCGGAGTGAAGATGCTCCACAACATTCGCCACTGGAGGGAAGTGTGTATCTTTGATCTTCATCCAACAGTGTTACTTAGTTGAACATTCTTACCACATCTCCAACATATCAAGCTCCTCTTGTTAAGGGATTGAACCTTAAACTGAATTCTTCCCCACTCACAAAATTTGGATCTCTGCCTCTTGAATCCTATACGGCGCAAACTTTCGAGATCCGTCGGATGTGACAGATCTTGAGTCACAGTAAGTGCGATACTCGAAGTGAGTGGGCGAGAGAATGACAACATCTCATGTTTTACCTCGTCCGTCAGGAGAGCACTTATAACCTTGTTGTGAGTTCTAGCCTTGTTATCACGATGAAGGAGAATTTTTTATAACGTCTGATTGGAGCGACACATAGAGTGGAAAAGATACGTAGTTTTCTTCACATTATGAAGCTCCTAACCATACTCTAAAAATCTACCAACAAATCATCGTAGGCGTGAATGTGATTCTAAATCCTAAATGCAGATCTCATCCTGAAGTTCAATAAACTTATGCAAGTGTTCATAAAGTGTGATAGTTACTTCTGATGAAACCGTCGTTGTAGGGCATCAAAAAGGTGTGTAACCTCAAAATACTCCTCAACTTCCTTCATAACCAAAGGATCTAGATGTCCCATCACAATATAGACTACATGCTTTTTTGAATCCATCCAATCAATGTCGCTAATGTGCATAGGTTTCTCTCTAAGAAAATTAGTGAGACCTATAGATCTACTATTCCCAAAGCAAATAATCAACTCGACCATCAAGAGATAGTATGTTATATCTTGATACTTCAACTTGTCTTGATGTCATCTAAATTCGGCGAAAACTAGAGACAACGTCTTTTTCCACTTCAAATGTTTGTACTTTGGTGGCATTTTAAGGTTCTGAAAAAATGTCATGATCCACTAGTTGCGTTAGAAGCTTTCCAAAGATATACAATTTGCCTATATTTCGACAAAAGGTATTTTGAACGAAATATTACCTTTGATGGACAAAATCTTTTGATGGATAGAATCTTCAAGACAAAATTTTATCACTGATCCAACATGAACTGCTTGCCATGTCTAGCATGTGCGCGACTGTCGCTTGTGACACACCGTTTTCTGTGACCACCGTCATCCGCAACTACACCGTCCGTCACCCTCGACTACAGTTGCCCATGACCACCGTTGCCCACGACTACATCATAAGAATCACCGTAGGTTAGTTGTCGCTGTCACGGTTGAACCCCTATAGACCACAATTGTGTCTGTCTTGACCACGTTCAGCTCCGATCACGTTCGTAGTAACCACGACTGCGTGAACCGGACCACGTCTGCATCGACCACGTTTGGGGTGGGCTGCCGATCCTACGAACTGCGCGCGGGGGAGACCCTGCCGCTCGGTAGGGGTGTCTCGCTTATGAGAATGAACTTCTTTGTGGCTGTGCAGCGGTCGCTCGGGTCACTTTTTAATGTGTAGCAATTCTTGACTCTCTCACTGTAGTACTTTCGAATTGGAAGCCCCCGATTTCAAGATGCGAGAAAGTGCTCCCACAAATTTCCACACAAGAATCAACTAACACTCCGACACACGACTGAACAATCGTCCAAGAGCAGGTTTTACAATCTGAAGCCAACACTCGCCGTGCAGTTCGACTATTCCAGGTGCATTCTTGTTTGCTTTACTCTTAACTCTGTCGACCAAGTTTGAAACTTGAGACTTGACCAGAACTTTTGAAACTGTCACACTTTCAAAAGTTTTAACAAAATTTGAAAAAACCTGAAGTCTCGTCCAGATGTACGCAATTTTGAAACCTGTACCTAAAAACGTGTCACAATCTTCGGCAAAAAAACCGTCAGTAACAGAAATCTGTCAACAAACCTGGCAACAACAGATTTCTGTCACCTGTCAGAATTTGTCAAAACTTTCTATCACAACCCAATAATTTAAAACTATCTCCCGAACACAGCACACCATTGTAAAAAAATCCAAATCGAAAACATATCAAAATCTTAATGGATTTTTTTACCAATTCATAAACCAAGAATCTTAGTGAAACATTCAAACCAAGCATTAACACGAGAGACATATTGTATATTCACACTCAATGATTACGTCCACGAGAGAATTTTTTAACAACTAAATACAATGCCTACATTGTAGAAACTTTGGATATATATATATATATCCAACACAAATTACAAACCTCACTATAGATATCTAGAACAGGATGTTAATCCTTAAAATTAGTTAAACTCAACAAATCTTGTGTATTGCAATACAGAAATCAAAATATTATTTATGAAAAAGTACCATAACTTTTAGCGTTCTATAGTACTCATGCAACCCCGCCACGGCAAGCTTTCCAAAATACTATATATAATGTAGATACAGACGGGTCAAGCCATCTTTTACGAACCAACATTTCATATATATATAAAAGAGAAATTTCTTCTCAAAGATCCGCAAGCACGAGCGCAACTCCTACCCGCTGATTGACACCTATACCATACTCTTAGCTGCATGTTCCTCTCTGCTCGAGATCCATCCTTAATACGTCTGCATGTCTAATGGAGTGATGGACAGTATGACGATCCGACCGGCCGACGCTTCCCTCCCTCTCTCTCTCACACAGTCGACGGGCACTGGCGCAGAATCAGCGAGCCCTGCTGGCAGTTTTTGTGCCTGACTCAGCAGAGTAAGTGCGACTTCGGCACACGTGGCCAATACATTTCAACGCGTATCGGGTGTGACTTGGATGTCGTGGAGCCGTCGATCTTGGATCGGACGATCGAAAACTGCGACACCTGTGGAGACAAGGCGGCAGACAGTAAAAGGGGGGAATATTCACCCACCGACACCTGGCCCGGCGATGGACTGAGACTCCAAGTCTGAGCAGGAGGAACGAGGCCGATCGGTATTTGCTCGGCTCGACGACGCCATCGCTTCATTCGTGCTTCGCAATCGGGAGGGGGCGGAATTCGGGAGCCGCGAGCGGAGCGGAGCTTTCATAATGACGAGCCTTTCGTGTGCAAGAGTCTGGTGCGATGATGCCTCCGCTGAGAATGTTGAGAATGCTGTCGCTGCAGCTCTTGTTCATTCCGTACATGCTCTGGTGGCTTCTGGCTTCCGTTTTCGTTGATTTCGTATCCCGATTGCGCAAATTGATCCGCCGCTTCTTCATTGAGCCAGCTCTGAGAGGAATTCTTAGGTTGGCCGGTTGGATCGACTCGTGCCTCGAGCTGACTGTGATAGGCTTCTATTTCTCGAAGGAGGTCTCGTCCGTGCTGCTGGACCTCGCCCTCAGACCTGGCAAACGCGCTCTCCTGCTCTGGGCTGACTGTGTCGACTGGTTCCTTCGATCTCTTCTCCTGATTGCGAATTTTTGCGTATCAATTTCCCACTCCGCATTTACAGCACTCCTAAGCCCTCTCAGGTGTGTTGTACCTGCTCAAGCTCTCCAAACGTGGGAACACCTGAAAGCTCATCTTCTCTCAGAGATCGGAAGCTTCGGACCCGCTGCAGCACTGCAGCAGCTGCCTGGGTTTGCATTTCTCAACACAAGGTGCACGGGACAAGGCTCGGAAACGATGACGAAGGTGTCGGCGATGGTAGCGGCTGGACCGATGGGCCGAACATTGTCGAAGCTGGGAATCAGTAGTAAATCGGACTCCAACAAACAGCACGATAAGATGGAAGACTACACGGCCTCCGCTGCCTCTGCCTTTTGTCACTCTCTGTTCCAGTACCTGGCGGACGATGAAGGATTGGAGGCTGTGAAGAAGCTTTTCGAGCAAATTTCTCTTCTCCTTCAGGAATTTGCCGTGAGCAAGGAATCACAGCGTGTCTCTTCCACCGGCGGGTACATGGCTGTCTTGGGAGCGTATGATGGCGTGGAGAGGAAAATCAATAATCTCACATCGAAGCTGCCAGCGTCAGTGAAGACCGCTGCCTTTCCAGTGCTTGCCGGTTATGGTGCTCTTCTAGCTTCCGGCTTGCTGCTGAGCTTGCTGCGGTTTGCTTTCTATGGCCTTCACTAGGGCTGTCAGTTTCAGCTTTGGGTGTTTCCAATTTTCCATTTATTCAAACCCTGAAGGTAACAGAGCTGTGAATCTGTTTTCAACCTTGTGGGCCCATTGCAGAGCACGAGCTTGTGAAGTTCATGCATTATATTTCTCATTTCGATATGAGTCAAACGTGACCCAGATGCAACGATGCGGTGACCCAGATGTGGTCTGAGCATCTCTAGAACTACAGATTGCAGGAGTTGTACAGCTTGGAATTTCTTATTTGATTGTCATACATTGCTGTCTAGTTGCTCGTATGGGTACTCATCTCGAGCTGCTGGAGTCTCAGTTAGTACATTTCAGGATCCAGTAAATCGAAGAGAACAGTTTATTCTCAGCTTAGTTCGAGGTACTGGTTCGAACAAGCGGAGCCGATTTTGTTCATTATCAAGTCCGGTTCAATATATGTGAGATATTAGGAAATTCAAATTCACCTTCTATGTAACATCAGTCATCAATATCAATCTTCATCGAACTGATAACTTTGGAACCATATGGCTTTCTTACTTGACAGAGTTACTCGTCCATGTAGATAGCCAACTATTGTAATCGGTTGCTGTTGTTTTCATATGATCTAAGGGCTCAGTTGCAATTTTCTATGACGTGTCTGCCGTACCCATCTGACTACTGTCCATTCTGAATCTCTATGACTCTAGGAAGGCAAGTGAAACGGGGATGTATTGACATCTGTGCTTACCGCCATATCTAGGTTGGTTAGTCATGGTTAACCTAATTTGTAATCCGGAGATCTTGTAGCCAAAGATAATGGCAAAGAAGCCAGCCGCTAAAAATATCGATAAGCCTTTTTCTGTGATGTTGCAATTATCCCCTAAATCGGAAGGCTATCGTGGTCCTGGCTTAACAAGATGGGAGCCAAATACACCACCCCTTGAATCTAGGTTAGCCCGAATTTCATAAGCTGATGTATCTGCTGTGCATCTAGCATGTACTTAACGAAGGGTGCCGCCCGTGCCATTGCTGCAAAGCTCCAATCGTCAAAACATGCCAACATTATACAGACCATAGCTCCCATCTCAATAGCGTTGTAGGAAGAGCACAGTATCAACTTTGGAATTAGAAGTATTGAAAATATGTCCTAAACCCTAACCCCTAAAGCATATAACGTTCTAGCAGGGAAGGAATAAACGATAAATTTTCTTCTTATCATGGGTCTATTGTTCTTTTGTCCATCCACGTCAATTCCACACATGGTGTGTAATTAATTATCTATCAATGATAGGTAATTAATTACATTTCAGGCATGTATGATAGGCTATCATACATGCCTGAAAGCAATAAAGATGATTTTTTACTAATGATAGTTAACATTGCACGGTAAGTTGATATCAAGTTTATTTTATATATAAAGCAAAGATTTACACACCGATACAATACAATCGTTCTCATTTCTTATTCGTTCTCATTTCTTGGGTAACAAATGTGAATTACTCTCTGGTCGACGATGTACTAAACATGGTCATGTCATCGATATCATTTCAGATTCGTTAATCAGCTGAAAGGAAAGATACTTTTTTCTGGAAGCGTACTGTGTGGGTAGGGTGTGATTATAAAAAGCTTGTATTAGATGAATAAGGACATCTTCGGGACTTGACAAGCAAGATAACAACAAGCAGACATGAACATCATAACAGCATCGTAACATCTGCTCCAATTACCGCTCAATTTCGGCAACGAACTTGAAATACTTTTCTCCACGCATGAGTGCATAACTTTTCATGCACTCGAATTCTCAGCACATGCTTACGTGCCATTCAATGCGGGATGTAACCGTCTGGAAAAAGGTAGGCAGTAGCAAAGAAGCCTAGTTTTGACTTTGCAATTAGAACACATCCATAAGTGCTACCGCAGGAATGCAAGTCTGAATGGATATTTTCCAAAGCTTCGTGACACAAAAGGCCACGAAAGACAAGTTTTATACAAAAACCTTGCAGCAGAATACTTACATCTACTTGTTGGCAAACATATCGGTATCTACCTAGGATCAAAATATCACGAACAAGTTGAGGGGAGGCGCGAATCGCTAGGTCGATTGATAAGGTGGTAAGGATGAGAGGATTCATTCCAGAGCTCTTCAACATCTGCTTATCTGTTCAGTTACCAGGTACATCTGGTGTACGCTGTCGTGCAAGGTTTCAACAGTGGCCGTGATCTCGGCTGCTTCAAGAGACAAATGTGCTGGTTGGTTAATTATCCATCAATCTAGCACTCTTATTCGATCAGATTCGATTTTGACTTTGATTTTGTTTTGTTTCGCCCTGGGTCTATGTAGTGGATTCAGTAAGATAGGAACTGCCAGTTGATTCATTCGTGCCCGGAACCTGTCCATCCGATCGAGGCTGCCTGCAGTCCAGCCGGAGCAGAAGGCTGTGAGGACTCTAGCAGCCCTCGTGCTGATGCTCTCTCGGCGTAGCCCCGAAGTGGCCGGGGCTGGTTCTCGCTATAGTTTAAGGAACCGAAGAAGTATATAATCTGAAGTCTGAAGGTGACACCTTTCCTTCTCTGGAGATGACGAACGTCGAAAGACTCGGTCGGTGCTTCCGGGACGTGCACGCCCTTCTGTCCTCGAAGCTGTCCGACATCTGGTGAGCTGCGCTGCGCAGCCGGCTCCCTTCTCCTTTCACCCTGCTCTTGTCCGGTCGACAATGGCAGAAATTGGAGAAAGGCAACTCCACAGTGAAACTCTCCCGACAACTCTGTGATATAATTTCAATCATGGGCTCTCTCGGTTCGTTTCCAGAAGTGTGGAAGGTCGGTCGGTCGGTCGGATAGGATTCACGCCTCTACATTGTAAAAGGTTCAAGTGAAATTACGAACCATTCGCAAGAACATAGTGTGGAAATTGAAGGATGGGCATGAACGCTCGGGGAAACAGCTATGGATCTTGGACGAGAACAGTTCTTGTAAGGCAATCAGCGGCTGAAGCCTCGAAAGCACAGGTGCAGTCCAATCAAGCATGATCATCTCCCAGACCCCAGCGTGATAGATGCACGCGAATGTCAGCATGAATTTTGCTCCCGGCCGCGTGCACTTCCGGCTTTGCTCCCGTGAAATCCACGAGAGTCGCCTCCGAGTACGTAAGCTGGTTCAGCGGATCATCCAGCACCCATGTGACCACTCCCTTCAGCTTCTCGCTCAGACTCCCAATATCGCTCGTCTCATCGATCCCCACCGCACTGGCTGACACTGCCATGATCGATCTCCTGCCGAAGTACCGGACGTAGGTGGACAAATCCCTGCAGGAAATCAAGACAGGCGAGCACGAATTTCAGAATCCTGAACTTATGACTACGATGAATCCGAACACTTTGCAAATTAATTCTCAATGTCGAATCTCCAGGCGGGCGGAAGAAAGCAAGACAGACAGGCGACCAAGAAAATCAGAATCCTGAACCCATGCCTACGATGAATCCGAACACTTTGCAAATTAATTCTCAATATCGAATCTCCAGGCGGGCGGAAGAATGTAAGACAGACAGGCGACCACGAAAATCAGAATCCTGAACCCGTGACTAAGATGAATCCGAACACTTTGCAAATCATTCTCAATGTCGAATTTACCTGATGGGCTGATACTCCTTCCACACGCTGGTGATGGTGCCCTCGTGCAGGAGGTGGGCGGGGGCGCCAGATTCAACCCCGGCAGGCAGAACCAAGCCGAGCACGTCCTGGCTGGCAGACGTCACGTCTTGACTGAACCTCAACAAATTCGCGTATCCAAATCGTTTCTGAATCTCCTCCAAGTCGACGTGCTCCGAGAGCCACTCCGGTGCGCAGACGAGAGTAACTGCTCCCCTGACGAGAGACGACGGCCTGCCGGCGCATCGACTCAGCTGCTCGAGCGCTTCCTCGTTGTCGGCGTCTGCCAGAAACACGCAGCGATCGTTGGACACCGCGGCGATGATGCCGCCCTGCACGATCGTCTTGGCTGCGAGGAGGATGTGATCGTGGTTCTGCGCGTTCAACGACGGGCTCGGAGTCGAATTCAGTCCCCACAATAGGTACGCGACTCCGGGCTCCGTGGGCACCGTCACGACTTCAGCCGATTGTGGAGGAAAGAAGTTGCTCGAGTTCCACGCTTGCACTGCTGCAGCCATTCCGCTCTAGTCCCTGATCGAGACTGGAATCGATTCGGAATCAAAATCGAGCACGCAAGCACGCCCTGACAGGTGCGACCGCTGCTTCGGAAATTGATCGTCGAATTTGAGTGAAGCGAGTGAGTGAGTTCTGGGAGGAAATCGAAATAGGATGGTCTCGGACGAGGAATTCGGTGATAACGATGAACTGAGGAGGTGCAGCAAGCGAATGACGGGCTACTGGAAGCAATTCAATGGGATGAGAAGTCTGCGAAGATATAATGCTCGAGAAGCCCGGCAGGTACAGTGATTGTTACAGTGCGCAACCCCTGGACGACCATCGAGGATAAAGGCCGACGTCAACAAGTAGACGGACCGACCGACCGATGCACAGAGCGATCGATGTATACAAAAGAACGAAGATTGTCCCCAGGATTTGACAGGACGGCCACGACGGGCAGAGATCAGAGCAGGCAGCCAGGCAGTATGTGAGACGTGTTCAGAGCGACGAGTGTCTGCAAATAGAGCAGCTCGAAGAAGGGCAGAGAAATTACAGAAATTCCAACATTTTCGATTGCCCTGGTTCCCCAAAAGCTGCGATGTTTATCATCTGTCCTGACCAGAGGTCGGCCTGAGTAAACGTACAGAAACTGACAGTGGGCAAATAGTGAATTCAGTGACAGCGAGAGAGACAGTGTCACAGTAACAGACTATGCAATCCTCGGGAGGCCAAATAAAAAAGCACTTTGCAAATGAGAGTCCTGGTGATGGCAATTGCACGAAACTTCTTCCGGATGAGGAAAGTCTATCAGCGGCTCACGATCACTTAATTGAGCTGTAAACACTCCAATTAAGCTTCCAATTGACTTTGATTCTTCCCACTGGAAGAATCAAAGTCAAGCAGCCCCTGAGCTGAACCACGGAATCTGGAGGATGTGTAACTCTTTGATGCAGAGAAGAGCACGAGCCAGAGCCTGCAGCTGCAGCTGCAGCAGATCCGCGGAGACAAGTGGAAGCGTTGGACCTGCCATGGAACCACAAAGAGCTCCAGGTTGTAGATCGTGTAGAGACGGACGGCAGCTCAACAGCGTGTTGGCCCGACTTAGGCACTCGATTTGCCGTGTGGCCGAAATAGAACCCAGCTTTCAAGAGGCCATCGAATGGTACCGACAGGCAGCTCATGCCTCTGAGCCAAACTGCTTAATTAACAGTGCGAAGATTCCCACGGCAGTTTAGGAACATTAAGGATTACTTTCAACAGCGAGGATTATCTTCCATGCCACCATAACAAGCCCCTCATCAACTTTCACAGGAAGTCAAACCTCCCTCCCTCCCTCACTCCCTCCCATCCGTGAGTCTACACGCTATCATGTGTTTTGTGGGCTCCCAGGAAGTCCCACACTGTGTCATGGAACTGCTCGTCTTGATAGGAAGAAGATAAATGTGACTGTGGGGTCCCTTCGAAAAATTGACGCTACAGAGATGGATGTCAGTGGGACCGCTTGAAGTCATCGAAGAGAGAACAATTCGGCCTAGTTTATCCACTCGAGGCTTCTGTAAAATCTGTATCTTATCCAGGGCCAGCTTGTCATCCTCGTGTGTTCTGGTTGTCATGATACAAACAGTCATATGGTAGAGATGTATGCTGATACGCTATAAATTATAGCATATTAGCATAATGATAATAAATGGATTAATTATAGACTATAATCAATCCATTATATTTTTGTCTCCCTTTCCTATCGTTTGGTCGTCTAATTTTATTCAGGGCAAGGTGACCCGTGCACAAGGGTACCGCTACTGCCTCCTTATTTCCCCAGGGGAGACAGGTACAACCTAAGTAACCTGTTGCACAGGTTGGACGGGCTTTGGTTCTTTCTGTTGAATGGCAATGCAGTAGACGAGCTCAGCCCCAAAATAAAATGGGTCATGAAGTGAACGAGGTGTAAAGATGCACATGAAGGGTATGCAGATGAAGAACCATAGCACGCACGATTTGAGAATCAAATATTTACTATAATCTAACATTTTGTGCACTGCATACCGCAGTTCTACACTTTCGATTTTTACTCAGTGTATTTAAGTATGTAAATTAGGTAAATACACTCAATGACGTGATGAATAACAGATATACTGTTATATTGTAATTTGAGTAGTTCAGAGAGTTCTTTTTATTGATTTTCATCAAGCGTTCTGAAGATATGATCTCATTTTTTATTCAGTATCTCGACCACCAGCAGAGTTCTCCAAAATATTCCAACGCTTATGGACATTGAAAATAGAATCATAATTTTGGAAATTATTTGAGAACCTCTGAATAGACTCTATTCAGAGGCTCTCATCAGTGTAGTTTATCTCTTCAAAAGACACACTACAATGATGAGAATTATGAATGAGAGGAGTATAAAACTTCACTAGTGAATTGAAAATCCAATCTTTCATAAATTCTCTAACTTGAGAGAGTTGGTATATATTATTTAAAATTTAACTCACATTAGATTAGTTTTATCAATTTGATAAAATAATTATGATTAATGAGACAAAGTAAAATATAATAATATACGAATATTAAACTTGTCACAAATTTAACTTTTTTTAAATTCAACAATCTTGTATTCTAGTGGAATAGCCTCGTATCTATTGAGTTGACTGAATGTATTTGCATGTTCCTTTGAATTACTATTCGGACTATCTGATACATCTCGGTATACTGAAGTCAAAATAAGATAATCCCAGCATTTTGGTTTAATGTCAATGTCTTCACAAGTAAAGAATGTTGCTATCAAAGATTATAAAATGGAAAAGTAGACAAGTTAAGCAGCTGCCAAAATCCCATAACTATTAAAATCTTCCATCCGTGATATCCGACAGTATATACGTATACCTATATACATGTATGTATGTAGAGTATCTTCAACAGAAATACAATTTCAGGAAAGATTGTTTCCTCTCAAAGTTACAATAAGGACACTATAGGGGTCTCGATAAAATCTTGAGCAAATAGGAAATAACTACAGATAGTGGCAGGAAAAAACAAAATACAGATCAAAATTTGATTGCTCCACAAGACGAGAGTGTGCACGAAAGATTTGGAGATGATTCTCCTAGGACTGGCTAGCAGACCTGTCAATTCAGCCTAGAAATTTCCTTGAAAAATGAGAAAATAAAATGTTCCAGAGTCAAAGCAGGGTTAGGGTCAGCAGCAGTCTAAATATTCAATAAATACTAAATAATGTATCCAGTTGATACATTATTTATTATTATTTTTTAATTATTTTTATTTGGATACATTATTATTACATCTCCTATCGCCAGGTTTCCTGACCAGCTTGTAGCAGGACATTACTCGAGATAAGTGCTTACCACGTCGGAGCTGAAAGAGAGGAGATAGACAAATCTGGGCCCAATGAGGGGAGTGAGATCCCAGTTGCTAACAATGGGTTCACAATCGAAGCAAGAGGTCAACCGACCCCGAGAACATGGAAGACGTTCCTCTTCGACGAGCTGCAATGGTCAAAATACTGTGAACATCGCCAGATCTGTCCAATAGATTGACACAACTCACAATTTGCCTTTACACCTAACATTTTTATACTCTCATCGTTTTGGTTATGATGTTTGTCGTGGTTTTGGATTTCAAACTTTGAAAAAATGTACATTACTCAGCTAATAATAAAAACCTGTATAATCACTTTTCATGATATTGATTTTCAGTTTCTGATAGCGCTTTTATCTTTTTTATCCACATTTAATATCATCCACAATCAAGTAAACTATTAAATAACTTCTTTTGAATTTTGATGGTTAGTTGTGAAACTATCAATTTGAGTTTACAAAGCTGATATATTGGTATACAAGAAAAAACTTTGTATATTATTGAATAACAAGAACTTCACTTCCAATGTAAGAACTACACAATGATGCATTAATCCTAGAGTTATCTATACTCCTCTACTTATTTGTTTAGAAGAATAGAAGAAACACTTCATGATATTTTTGCCAAACACAAAACACTTGTTGGAACTCAACATGATTCATTTTATTTGATGGTATTCCCATAATGCCCTGCAATCCACCATCACTTATGTTTCAATACAAATTTTGGAATTGTATCTCCATCGGCGGCCCGTAGCTACTTTTAAACAAAGCCTCGTCCAACAAAGCTTCAAGAATGCCCGCAAACTCTCCTTAGTCAGAGTTTGAAAATTTGAATCAAACTAACTAGCCACCACAAATGCAATTTCGTGAGAATTTAAGAACTCTAAAAACCAATATTACAGATCAAAGGACGAGCTTACAATTTTAATAGTTGTACGAACTTTCCTTATGATCAAAAGGATGATAAGAAATGAAGGGGAAACAAATAGCACAACATGAACTTCAATTCATTAATGTCAAAATGTGCATGACATTTTTTATCACTGGACTGTCTGCTTAGAATTGCATTTCATTAATACAATTATTTGTAGTCAAAAATTATATCTAGTAATTTTTTAAAAATGTATATATAACACTAGAATTTTAAAAAAAAGCTCTCTCAAGTATGAAAACAAAAATGTTGAAGATGATGGACAACAACAATGATTCTACACTCCTTTCTATATCTTTTATCAACAAGTACAAGGAGATAAGATTTCATGTTTATTATCCATTTCACTTTTATTGGATGGATGATATAACAGATAGTCTTAACAATTACATGGATTGCTGACGTTGTGCTCTCAACTAACACATTCAATCCTTACTTAACAAGCACACATATCGCTGACATGGCGCTATCAACTAACACATTTTTTCTCTAACTACCAAGCACGCTGTGTGGCCTACTTTTTTGTTTATCTTTAAATATTAACAAAAACATAAACATATGTGTGTAGAAGATAGTTATATGAGTTGGAAAGAGTAGATTTATAGGAGTTATGATAGGATTTGTCTACGTTCAAAGATCTTCGGATCTTCGCGTCTTCGGCGTAGTCTTTTAGGACGCACGAAGAGTTGCGTCTTCGGCGAAGACATCGGAATCAATTTCAAATCATGCAACGGGCTGGACGAGATTCGCACGCGTCGGGAGTTCTACGAGGCGCAAGAGAATGCAATGTTAGGGCTTCAAGGGTAAAGGCAGTAGGAGGAAACTGCGCGCCGACATTGCGATATCGAGCAAGAACGATCGAGGGCGAAAGGAATTGCAATCGAGCCAACCCGCGATTAGCAAAACGCAAATTGAACACATGGCGCCCAAGAAAAGTGAGAAGTTGAGGAAATTGGTTCCCTTGAAGGTGCTGTATGAGGAATTGAGACCCTTCAGACACGAGTTGAGGGAACTGCGGCTAGAATTCCTTCTATGGAATTAGAATTGCGTCTCAGCGAGTATCTGGAAGGAGGTTATGGACAAGAGCGCGACCGAAGGCGAGGAGCTCTGTGGTAATCCCATGTTGTGGACCGTCGAGCATTGGACGAGAGTAATGGGACCGTGTGCGGGAAGCGACGGAGACCTTCTGTTTGGCAAGAATAGCGTAGGACTTACGCGTCGAGGAATTCTCTTACGGGCCTCTCTTCGAGAATGGAAGACGGGGAACGAATGGATGGAAGACAGTCGATTATAAGGATCCGAAGAGAAGGGCGATCGCGTTAGGGATCATGCACATCTTACGGCCGGCGCGCACGACTTATGTGACGGCCTGGCAGGTGGAATTCTTCGAGCGCATTTTGAAGGGAAAGCGCGTACATTGGGCAAGGATCTTTTACGATCTTGGCTGGGTGAATGCGTCTGGTCGATGGACCGGATCTATGACCAATCATCTTACCCCCTTTCTGGTGAATTTCTATCGAGGAATGGGATTGCTTACGAGGGAGGAGAAGAAGCGATTTCCAAGGGAGCGGGAGAGCTTTACAGTGGAGTCCAGTGGAGGGACCGAAGACGAGAACCGATCTCCCGCAATTCCAACACACACTACCGCTCGAGTACCAGTGCAGGTGGACGTGGTTCCAAGGCAAGAGTAGCCAGAGAGACGAGTGGCAAAGAAAAGGAAGGTCGTAAGTGATGATGAGGAGGAATTGGCCACATGGTAAGAAGGATGGATATGGATGTGAGTGGAGCCAAACAGCACAGAGCTCTCGTAAGACGAAAGAAGAGGGTGAAACGGAGGATGATGACAGTTGAGGTGTCAGATAGAAGTGTGGAGAAGACGGTGGCACCAATTGTTAACACCTCCGAAGTTGCAATTAGCGAGGTAATGCGATCTGTGGAGTTATGGGTACCTTCGGAGATGTCAATCGAAGATCCGGCAGATAAACCGGCAGAACCTTTGAACGAGGGAACGAAATTGGTAAGTCCGATTTCTCTGTCTTCGGA